AATTCCTTTTAGTTGGTTTTATAAATGACTAAAACACCACCAATCATTACAGGTGCTGGTCATAAAATTAGAATATCATGAAAAAGTAGATTGATTTCAGTAATTCCATTTAAAAAGTGAAACTTGTATATTATATTCATACATTACATACAAACTCATATATTTCAGATGTTTATTTTGTTTAATTTTGATGATTACAAATGACAACAAATGAAAATCTCAAATTCATCATATCAGAAAATTAGAATATTACTGAAGACCAATAAAAACAAAGGATTTATAGAAATGTTGGCCAACTGAAAAGTATGAACATGAAAAGTATGAGCATGTACAGCACTCAGTATTTAGTTGGGCCTCCTTTGGCCTGTATTACTGCAGCAATGCGGCGTGGCATGGAGTCGATCAGTCTGTGGCACTGCTCAGGTGTTATGATAGCCCAGGTTGCTCTAATAGTGGCTTTTAGCTCTTCTGAATTGTTGGGTCTGGTGTATTGCATCTTCTTCTTCACAATACCCCATAGATTTTCTATGGGGTTAAGGTCAGGAGAGTTTGCTGGCCAATTAAGAACAGGGATACCATGGTCCTTCAACCAGGTACTGGTAGCTTTGGCACTGTGTGCAGGTGCCAAGTCCTGTTGGAAAATGAAATCTGCATCTCCAAAAAGTTGGTCAGCTGCAGGAAGCATGAAGTGCTCTAAAACTTCCTGGTATGTGGCTGCGTTGACCCTGGACCTCAGAAAACACAATGGACCAACACCAGCAGATGACATGGCACCCCAAACCATCACTGACTGTGGAAACTTTACACTGGACTTCAAGCAACGTGGATGAAGTGCCTCTCTTCTTTTCCTCCAGACTCTGGGACCTTGATTTCCAAAGGAAATGCAAAATTTACTTTCATCAGAGAACATGACTTTGGACCACTCACCAGCAGTCCAGTCCTGTTTCTCTTTAGCCCAGGCAAGACGCTTCTGACGCTGTCTGTGGTTCAAGAGTGGCTTGACACAAGGAATGCGACAGCAGAAACCCATGTCTTTCATACGTCTGTGTGTGGTGGTTCTTGAAGCACTCACTCCAGCTGCAGTCCACTCTTTGTGAATCTCCCCCACATTTTTGAATGGGTTTTGTTTCACAATCCTCTCCAGGGTGCGGTTATCTCTCTTGCTTGTACACTTTTTTCGACCACATCTTTTCCTTCCCTTCGCCTCTCTATTAATGTGCTTGGACACTGAGCTCTGTGAACAGCCAGCCTCTTTAGCGATGACCTTTTGTGTCTTGCCCTCCTTGTGCAAGGTGTCGATGGTCGTCTTTTGGACAACTGTCAAGTCAGCAGTCTTCCCCATGATTGTGTAGCCTATAGAACTAGACTGAAAGACCATTTAAAGGCTTTTGCAGGTGGTTTGAGTTAATTAGCTGATTAGAGTGTGGCACCAGGGGCCATCAATTTTGAACCTTTTCACAATATTCTAATTTTCTGATATGATGAATTTGAGATTTTCATTTGTTGTCATTTGTAATCATCAAAATTAAACAAAATAAACATCTGAAATATATGAGTTTGTATGTAATGTATGAATATAATATACAAGTTTCACTTTTTAAATGGAATTACTGAAATCAATCTACTTTTTCATGATATTCTAATTTTATGACTGCTGACTTGACAGTTGTCCAAAAGACGACCATCGACACCTTGCACAAGGAGGGCAAGACACAAAAGGTCATCGCTAAAGAGGCTGGCTGTTCACAGAGCTCAGTGTCCAAGCACATTAATAGAGAGGCGAAGGGAAGGAAAAGATGTGGTCGAAAAAAGTGTACAAGCAAGAGAGATAACCGCACCCTGGAGAGGATTGTGAAACAAAATCCATTCAAAAATGTGGGGGAGATTCACAAAGAGTGGACTGCAGCTGGAGTGAGTGCTTCAAGAACCACCACACACAGACGTATGAAAGACATGGGTTTCTGCTGTCGCATTCCTTGTGTCAAGCCACTCTTGAACCACAGACAGCGTCAGAAGCGTCTTGCCTGGGCTAAAGAGAAACAGGACTGGACTGCTGGTGAGTGGTCCAAAGTCATGTTCTCTGATGAAAGTAAATTTTGCATTTCCTTTGGAAATCAAGGTCCCAGAGTCTGGAGGAAAAGAAGAGAGGCACTTCATCCACGTTGCTTGAAGTCCAGTGTAAAGTTTCCACAGTCAGTGATGGTTTGGGGTGCCATGTCATCTGCTGGTGTTGGTCCATTGTGTTTTCTGAGGTCCAGGGTCAACGCAGCCACATACCAGGAAGTTTTAGAGCACTTCATGCTTCCTGCAGCTGACCAACTTTTTGGAGATGCAGATTTCATTTTCCAACAGGACTTGGCACCTGCACACAGTGCCAAAGCTACCAGTACCTGGTTGAAGGACCATGGTATCCCTGTTCTTAATTGGCCAGCAAACTCTCCTGACCTTAACCCCATAGAAAATCTATGGGGTATTGTGAAGAAGAAGATGCAATACACCAGACCCAACAATTCAGAAGAGCTAAAAGCCACTATTAGAGCAACCTGGGCTATCATAACACCTGAGCAGTGCCACAGACTGATCGACTCCATGCCACGCCGCATTGCTGCAGTAATACAGGCCAAAGGAGGCCCAACTAAATACTGAGTGCTGTACATGCTCATACTTTTCATGTTCATACTTTTCAGTTGGCCAACATTTCTATAAATCCTTTGTTTTTATTGGTCTTCAGTAATATTCTAATTTTCTGATATGATGAATTTGAGATTTTCATTTGTTGTCATTTGTAATCATCAAAATTAAACAAAATAAACATCTGAAATATATGAGTTTGTATGTAATGTATGAATATAATATACAAGTTTCACTTTTTAAATGGAATTACTGAAATCAGTCTACTTTTTCATGATATTCTAATTTTATGACCAGCACCTGTGTGTATATATATATATATATATATATATATATATATATATATATATATATACACTATATTGCCAAAAGTATTTGCTCACCTGCCTTGACTCACATATGAGCTTAAGTGACATCCCGTTCCTAATCCATAGGGTTCAATATGACGTCGGTCCACCCTTTGCAGCTAGAACAGCTTCAACTCTTCTGGGAAGGCTGTCCACAAGGTTTAGGAGTGTGTTTATGGGAATTTTTGACCATTCTTCCAGAAGCGCATTTGTGAGGTCGCACACTGATGTTGGACGAGAAGGCCTGGCTCTCAGTCTCCGCTCTAATTCATCCCAAAGGTGTTCTATCGGGTTGAGGTCAGGACTCTGTGCAGGCCAGTCAAGTTCATCCACACCAGACTCTGTCATCCATGTCTTTATGGACCTTGCTTTGTGCACTGGTGCACAGTCATGTTGGAAGAGGAAGGGGCCAGCTCCAAACTGTTCCCACAAAGTTGGGAGCATGGAATTGTCCAAAATGTCTTGGTATGCTGAAGCATTCAGAGATCCTTTCACTGGAACTAAGGGGCCAAGCCCAGCTCCTGAAAAACAACCCCACACCATAATCCCCCCCTCCACCAAACTTTACACTTGGCACAATGCAGTCAGACAAGTACCGTTCTCCTGGCAACCGCCAAACCCAGACCCGTCCATCAGATTGCCAGATGGAGAAGCGCGATTCGTCACTCCAGAGAACGCGTCTCCACTGCTCTAGAGTCCAGTGGCGGCGTGCTTTACACCACCGCATCCGACGCTTTGCATTGCACTTGGTGATGTATGGCTTGGATGCAGCTGCTCGCCCATGGAAACCCATTCCATGAAGCTCTCTGCGCACTGTTCTTGAGCTACATGAAGTTTGGAGGTCTGTAGTGATTGACTCTGCAGAAAGTTGGCGACCTCTTCGCACTATGCGCGTCAGCATCCGCTGACCCCGCTCCGTCAGTTTACGTGGCCTACCACTTCGTGGCTGAGTTGCTGTCGTTCCCAAACACTTCCATTTTCTTATAATACAGCTGACAGTTGACTGTGGAATATTTAGGAGCGAGGAAATTTCACGACTGGATTTGTTGCACAGGTGGCATCCTATCACAGTTCCACGCTGGAATTCACTGAGCTCCTGAGAGCGACCCATTCTTTCACAAATGTTTGTAAAAACAGTCTGCATGCCTAGGTGCTTGAATTTATACACCTGTGGCCATGGAAGTGATTGGAACACCTGATTCCAATAATTTGGATGGGTGAGCAAATACTTTTGGCAATATAGTGTATATGTGTGTATATATATATATATATATATATATATATATATATATATATATATATATATACATATATATATACATACACACTCTTACTTCCACACCATGCCTAGTATATAGGATGTTAACCAGGTTTTACACAGATTTTTTATTTTTTTGTATGAGGATGGTCATTGATAGGAAACAAAGTGAAAAGCACTTTAAAAAAAAAAAAACAGTTTTGTACTTAGATGTGGCGAGATTACTTTAGGCGATCTTTTATCATATTGATTAGTCCAGTTGTGTTGCTGACCGAGCTCTGACGAATGATGAACATATAAGCTTACAGGCTAAGCTAACGATCTGTATTGTATTGGGAAAGCTGGTGAGACTGCATTTATAGTAATTTTAGCCCCGCTAATGGAGGACGTTAGCCCGCCTCAGCTCCTAATATACCTATTTAATACTTAATGGTACTTATAGCAGGAAGAGCGAAACATGTTGAATGTTGCTCCTCTATTATAATACCTGTAACTAGTTCTTAATAACAATTTTGACTCTGCCAAAGTCTAACCTGCAGTCTGAAGCTACTAACATAAATTGACCACAGGATTGTGATTGATGGGGTTTTCTCTTCCTTTAATCCAAACTGCAGATACCCATCTGTTAGTATTATTATTTAAAGCAAACATAAAGGGTTATGTGTTGTAATTCTGCTGTGTGCTGCTTGCTTTACTAACAGAATGCATCTTATTTTGTTGCTCTAACAGTTAAAATTTCCTCTCACCCTTTGGCTATGCTTCAGATTCTTTCTCTGGGGAAACTTCTCTGCTGGGTTGTGATTTATTAACTCATCCTTCTGGTGGCAGCCAGCTTATTTCTGCACTCCCTTCCTCCTCTGGCCCTCCTGGCTGTGGCTCCAGATCCTGTCTGGAGGAGCTGCAACCCAGTCAGGCTGCCGGTAAGAAAACAGTTCTGCATCACAACATTTGCTCACTATGTTAGCCATGCAATTAAGAACCTTAGAAGGAAGATGTAGCTTAGCTTGGGGAGCCTTGATTTCTGGAATAAGAATCTGAAAACGATGTAATGCAGATTTTTAAACCTGACTTCTATGTGGACCTTCTCTGTTTTCAATGTGCATGCAGACTTCTTTCTTCCTGGCTTTCCTCCCCTTCTGAATTAACTTTTTCCTCCGTCCATTTCTACCTCCTACTGTATGTTCTTCCTTCATCCCAGACTCTTCTTTCCTCTTGTCTGGTGTGAAAAAGGGCAGTGATGATGAGTTTGACCCCATTCCTGTGATCATTCCAAAAAATTCAAACCAAGGTAAGTTTGAAAGAATTGCAAGGATTTCGCTCACACCTGCTGAAACCACAGGAATGAATGACTCCACCCCTGTTTAATTTAGCCTAGCTTGTATTAGTGATCATCAGTGTGTGTTTAACACCAACATCCCCAGCCCACTGCTCATTGCAGACATCTTTTCTTTCCTTCAGCCAAAGGTTACCTGCCATAGTTTCATAGATTAAATGCGTATAGGCTCTGTGTATAATCTATATGAAGACACTTCATGTTAGAGTGAAACTTCCTCACCTATATTGAAGCAGCTGTATAAACATGATCCCAGCTTATTCTTTGCTTCTTTCTCTTTCTGCCTCTGTTCATGCATTATTTTCTTCTTTCTGCTCTGCCATCATTTCCCTTCATCCTCATAATTTCCTTACTCATAACTTTATTCATACAATCCCTATCATTGACTTTTTCTTTTGCTTGTCTTTCAAAACCTCCCTCGGCTCCTCCATGTCCATTTCTGTCTCCTTCTCTCCTTCTTTCTGGCACGTTTTTTCAGGTGGTCACTCTCACAGCAACAGTGGCACTTCGGAGTCCAGCATCCCCAACTTGGCGCGTTCCCTTCTGCTGGTGGATCAGCTCATCGACCTCTAGAGGGGTGGGAGAGGTCGAAGGGGCAGAGTGCAATCATAAAAACAAACAAAAAAGGCTGTTGGGGAGAGGGGGACACAGATGGGTTACTGTAGCAACTTTTGAAGGGAGGAAAAGCCATCATGGATTGGTTCAGTAGAGCCATTCTGTTTATGCCTCCTTGGCCTCAACTCCATCTCTAGCAGCGTGATAAGCTGGTTTCATGCATCTCTGCTGGCCGTCGACATTTTCACGCTGGTATTTTTATTTTATTTTTTCTGTTAATGCCTGAGCATATCGTCTGCTTCTGTCCTTGCTTCATCACTGTCTTTTTTTTTTCATGCTTCCTTGTTCTTGCAATAATGTCCCTCCTGATTTTACACCCATTGTTGTTACATCTGTCATTGCGTGCATTGCCTGATCACAGCTCCTTTGTGCTTACCTTTTTTTGTGAGTGATTACATTTAAAGCTTTGATATGATGCTATTTGTAAGATGTCAGACCTTACATGAAGGTAGACCTAGAAAAGCAATTTCCAATAGAATATTTAGACTAATGCTACATTCATACCTAAAGCAGCAGAGGCAGCTGGAGCAGCTAGTTTACATGCAAAGTCAAAGGTTGACGCTCATCAAGGCGCAATAAAACGTCCCGCAGCTCGTTTTGAGCGGCAGGTGCAGCGCGTCTGAGCGGCTGAAGCAGCGCGTCGTGAGCTTCTGAAGCAGGGCACCGTGAGCTGCTGAGCATCTGACGTGCGGAACGTGCTGCAAACGCAGCTTCTGCTGGAGTTGGAAAAATTTAACTTTTGCTGCTCAACTCGCCACATCAACCAATTAGAGAAGCTGATCTGGGAGCTGGCAGGGAGAGAGACACATCACTGACGATACAGATCACTATGATAACTCCTCTGAAACAGTCTATTAACGCCTAAATTAACTTAAAATGCCAAAATCTGCCGGCAAAACGTGTTCACTTTTATTATCCTCGTGCCTGCAGTTCAGATTACGTTCATGAAAACCACCCTCCAGCCGCTGCGGCAAACTGCAAAGAGGCGCTGGGCCATAGGCTGCTGTTGAATGGGATTCCTAGTGAGAGCGCATCGCTGGTATGTGGGGGTCTGAGCGGTTCTGACAGCTAAATAATATTTGAAGGCAGGATGGTAATCTGGATGAACTGACTGCACAGATTCAGTTTTCACGTGAACTTTCTTAAAGAAAAAACAGTTAAAACGACTTTTTACCCACTGATCACAGCATATATAGCTGCCATTGTTACAGGCAAAGAAGTTATAGGGTAGCTCAGCCCAACGCGCATCAGAGCCACTTTTCCACTGCGCAGCAGGAGCAGCAGAGATGCTTCAGCCGCACGTCAGAACAAAACTTGTACAAGCATCAAAAATGAAGCAGAACACACGTTTTTGCTGCTCTTGCTGCTTGAAGTCTGAACGTAGCATAAGGCATCAACGTTGGACCTTCAGAAACCACTCAGTCATTTCCCACTACACAGATAGGCAGGTAAGGAATGGATCTGTTATAGTGTTCTTTGGCCAAATTCTCTCTAACCTTTGGTTAACTTTGAGGAGAAACATGGTGTCCTGTTCAAAGTTTTAATAGGATCGAAAAGTTTAGAGTTTTAAATAATGTTAGATTGGCTTGCCAAAATATTGATATATATCTTGAACATGATCACATCTTATTCTCCTTGCAAGAACAGTTTGAGAGATTTTATTTATGGATGCTAAGGGATACATAATTCTGAAATGAAAACAAATGGATGCAACCTGTGTATTGAATAGAGGAAGTGCATTATTACAGGTATTCTGTGAAGGCCTCAAGTAGGGCTGCAACAACGAATCGATAAAATCGATAAAAATCGACTTTTAAAAGCGTTGGCAACGAATTTCATCATCGATTAGTTGTGTCGCGCGATTATTGCGTCATCCGCCGCGCCGTCATCACTGCCACTTGACTGAAAGAAGAAGAAAAAAAATATGGCAGAGCGAGTCAGCGCCGTAGGTGCAGTGTTGCCAACTCAGCGACTTTTCAGACCCCTCCAGTGACTATTTTTCAAAAAGGCGACTAGCGACAAATCTGGCGACTTTTTTCGGTGTCACTGGCGGCTTTTGGAGACTCTTAGTGAAAGCATGTATCATTCCTACTCTGCCGTGGGGCGCCTCCCCCACCCCGACCGCGTTTTCCCGCAGGAGTCCCTCTCAGCGCTGCAGTCAGAGCCTCAGCGTCCAGACTGCAAATGAAGCACGCATGCACCGGGATTGACGGCGCAAATTGATCACAATAATTAAAATACCCTGCGCTTTGTAAAGCGAAAAAAGTGATAACATGCAACTTTTTTCAAAAGAAATTAACATGGCACGGAACCACCATGTTTGTTTGGTTTTAAAGTGGGGAAACGTAACGTTAGTTTCTCAGGTAGCTCATCTGATGCTTTCCTTACCGTGTTAGTAGGTTACAGACAGTGATAAGGTTGGCTACTTATTTTACTTTTAATTTCATTTGAATTAGCTTAAGCAGCGTTTATATTTTCTTTATAAATAAATTAACTTTCAAATTATGAGGGCAAGGCTTTTAAAGTTTAAATCTTCTGGCAAAGATAAAGTAAAGAAGATCCTGCAATTTATGGAAGTAAAGCAGAATAAAATCCAGCAAGATCAGTAATATGTCAATTAATTATATGCCACATTCCCATGTAAATATCTGTCTTTGGAGGATGTGTTTTTTAACACCCCTAGTTCTCTCATTTTTATTCCAAATACAATTTATAATTTGAATCACAGGGCTATTTTTATTTCTATGGTTCAGTATTTTCTCAAGTAGCAACTTTAACTGCTATACTTTCCTGTCTTAAAAGGCAGAACTCTTCTAGTCTAAAAAAACTCATTTGTTGAAATGGGGGGGCCTATTGTTTGAACCCCTTAGGGGCTTTTAAAAACAAAAATGTCTTTTTTTGCGCTTTATGAAACAAAGTACCCTATATTTTGTCGATGTACAGCTACATTTCTTATGTAAGTTTGCGTAGTTTTAACACAAACATTTATTTTTCATATTGCACCAGTACAGTTAATGAGAAACCTGTACTTGTGTGCTTGTTTGTTCTGTCTAAAATGTTTATTTTGGAATAAAGAGGTTAATATAAAAAATATTTTTTGTCCGATTCATCGATTAATCGAAAAAATAATCGTCCAATTCATCGATTTTTAAAATAATCGTTAGTTGCAGCCCTAGCCTCAAGGTTAAAAAACTATTTGAAAAAATATTATTTTCAACCTTGTTCTGGTTTATCATGTAAGCGTTGAACAAAATCCATAGAAGATTGTGGTTTTAACATGTCAGAATAAGGCTTAAAGGCTTTATTTTTTCTGGATGAGATGTTAAAGATTTATAAACGATGAAGGTTCTGATCTTTGGTTTTCAACCAAACTCTTTATGACTGATTAGCTTTTACTCCTAAGATGCTCTTCTTAACAACATGTTATGAACGTTTGGATAAAACTGTATTTTCTGTTTGTATTTTTCTCTCATAATTTCTCAAACTAATTTTTTTATGTAACTGGCATGAATTAAACTTTAGCCATAATGAAGCAAAAAGAGATTTTCTAATCCTGCTGTTTGCGACGTGTTATTCCCCTCTCAGGATCAAACTTTTCAGATTACAGCTTCATTACATGAAAAGAGGTATAGAGTAGATGCCCCTAATACCCCCCTCCCTTTTCTTTCAGCCTCTAGCTTACAATGATTCTGATCTTTTCCCATCTCTTCCTACCTAGTTGTACATTGAAGTAAGTTAGCCAGTTTGACTGATTACTGTACATAAAATCATAATAATGAATCCATTTTATTGTGTCTTTTAATGTTACATCATATCATTGCATATTATGTAAAGGTATTTTATGTTACAGTATGGCTGATGTAAGCATTTAGAAAGAAAATGTATGAATGAAGTCTCATAACTGAACATGTAATAACTATACACTTGTGAATAAAGTGTATTTAGAACTGTAAATGGTGACCAAGCTTCTTCAAGAGTCCAAGTTTTAGTCTTATTCGCTCATTTCAGACATTTGGCCTGAGTGTTGGGTTTTTTTTATGCTCTCTATGAATGAAACTGTCCCTAAATGAAGCAGCCGCCTCCTATTGTGCTGCTAGATTCATCTGTTGGTTTTTTAAGAAGCATAATGACAGAAACTCTTCCTGATGTCTCAGATTCACTCATTATTGCTTGTTATTATTCCAGTGTTGAGAAAGATTGGATGGTAGCTGTATTACGTTTGATGAGTATCATTGCTCTTGGTTTTGTGGTACATGCAAAAATCCCACAAAGTTTCACTTTGAATTATGGCTTTTCCTTTGTCACGGAAGTGTATCTACACCGCTATATGTTCTAAGCTTATGTTGAAGGGGACTTTGCCCTGCATTTAACTGAGATCTACACATTTCCTTTTATTATGTTTTGCCCTTGTTAATACAGTGAATTGTTTATGCATTAATCTAGCAATGGCCTTTAAGTTAATTGACTGTTGGAAAAATGAAGCTTCACTAAAAAAAGTAACAACTAACCTATAACATGATACATTTTTAAAACATTAATGAAGTATTAAAGATAAACGTTAGCTAGTAATGTCATGATACACAAAAAGCACACCATGGCTTAGAAAAAACATGTTCCCGCATGTCCTTATGCATCATAAATGGGTATAGTGGATTTCTGCTGTCAGAAAGACAGACTTTTCCTCGGTTATTATTTCCGTAAAACCTGGCTTTAGAATAATTTACAGTAGGAAATTTTGTATATGTGTGAATATTTAACATGCTAAAATTCCAGAAATGTGTACACAATCTAGAGAAAAGTTAGTTTTTACTGTAATTTTTGGCTCCTAAGATTTTTATATATATATATATATATATATATATATATATATATATATATATATATATATATATAAAAGTAAGTATATATATATATATATATATATATATATATATATATATATATATATATATATATATATATATATATATATATATAAAAGTAAGTATAAGAAGAAACGCAAATGTTTGTTTTTGGATCTCAAGGAAAGTTGAGTTATAGTTCAGATATTCTTTCTGTACATTTTTAGGGGGTTTATCTTTTTTTTTTTCCCCTTCAACAACTTATGCTACAAATCACGCTAAAAAGGACCTTTAAGCACCGAAGATTATTTTGCTCGACTTAAACTGCTACTTTTTATGAATCGTTACTTTAAGTATCCAACCAAGTAGGTGACCTTTTACGGCCTGTTGAGCTGAAAATCCTACGATTGTTTTCTCAAGCTGATGAAGGCATCTCTGGTTTTCTAGATTCTTAGTTTTATCATTTAACATTTGTTGTTCTGTGCAACACATGATACCTGCTGATGATGTTAAAATAATTTATATAAATGCAACCTTATTTACATTTTCTTTAAAAATTAGTTTTTTTCTGTTTTGTTTTTTTCCTCATTACATGATGAGTTTCTAAAGGTAATCCTTGAAGGAGGTTAACTTAAGCTGTGGTTAATACAAAATGTGTTGCATTAGAAAGTAAATGATTTAGCACCAGCTAGTTAAAAAGAGCAAAGAAAACGGATGTTTTCCTCTTAATGGCTTCAACTAACATCTCTGCGTGAACTGCAAGCTAACCACTTCTGTCAACACCTTTAAGGTAAGACTAGCCTGTCTTTGCTACTCTGTGCTAACCTGTCCGTCCCTATTTTCAGCTTAACTTTCCTAACTTTTCCTCCTTGTTTCCACAGACCAGCTAATCTCAATTTAAACTCCCCAAACCTTAAATAATTCTCACTAATACCTCCATGTGCTCTTACCAAGTTCCTCCAACATGCTTTAGAGCCTGAGACTGAGATGCTGCCTCTTTAGCTAAATTGTGGAAACAAGTTTCTTGATAATATAGCTGCTAAGCACGTCCATCCTGTGACTTGTTCCTGAGTAGACTGTATTGTTTTGTAGTCGTGTCAGTTTGTCATCGTCCTGTCGTCTTAATAGGCAGATCTGTAGAGATGGTTTGTGGGTCGCAGGTGTGAAGTTTCTCTAAAAGCTGACGGTGAGATTTTAAAAACTCATACCTGCAGTGCTACTGATGTAATGTTTGTTTTTTTATTTGTCTGTGTTGTACAGAAGTGGAAGGGGAGAGTAATGGCTACACTGTGCTGGAAGAGGGTCAAGAGACTGAAGACATTGAAGAGAATGATCTCAACAAAGAAGACTATGAGCATTCTAGCGATGAAGATGTGGAGAATGCTGCAGGTAAAGAGGAGGAGGGCACAGCAGGCGAGGGTCATGTTGCTGCTCAGGACTGCAGTGGCTCTAGGCCATTGCTGATGGACTCTGATGATGAAGAAGAACATGGACCTCTGGTAGCTCCATATTCAGCCCTGCCCCCCAATACCACACCAGTACAACCACCCGCTACCTTCCCTCAGTCCACATCAAGCACCTTTGCTCATAATAATTCCTGGGATGTACCAGAGAGCGGTGTCACTCCAGATGTCTTTTCCAAAGCCCCTTTTCCAACTTCCCAGGAGGATTCAGCCGATGTTTTTGCCAATGCGCCTTTTCCACGCGCTCCTCTCGTAGCACCGCAGCAGCTGGATGTGTTCTCACAGGCTCCCTTCGGAAAAAGAAAGGAGTTCTCAGCTACACCGCCGAAGACCTCATACCCCCAACCAGCTGGAGGCCAGGCTTTGACCTCTGATCAGGGAGTGCTGGGACAGGTTGCTCAACAACCGTTCCGCCCTCAAGCTCTGACCAAATATTCCCGCCACTTTGAAGGACCTGGTCCCGAGCGGCCGGGAGCAGCTCCCAATGTGAGCAGACAAGCAGTCGAACCGCTTCAGTCATGGACGTCAGAAATTAACACTGTAGACCCGTTTGTGTCTGCACCCTTTCACCTGAAGGCACCGCAAGACAAGCCCTGAACACACGCACAGAGCTTATCGGCAATTTTCACCCATGAAATATGCAAACTGCAATAGGCTTCCTGCATGCTGTCACCAGCGCTGCAGCTGGACTGCAGGCCTCCATCACATCTCGTTCTCAACCTTCCTACATTAGATCAGGCAGGGCAGGTTTTCCTTCCCAACTCTTAGGTTCTTTTTACTCTTGGCATGCACAGAGACAATGTTGGGGTTAACCATTTGAATCCTTTCCTGACTACCTCAGTTACTTACTGTGAGGGAGTTTGTGCTGAAGCTATAGCAAAATTATTTTCTGCACATTGAAGATTGACTGTAAAACTGTGATCTAAATATCCCACTCATTCATTGCAGTGCTTATCGGAGTGAGAGAAATTGTCAATTTCACTTGAAAGGTGAAACTTTCTTTTCATTCTCTTAAGGTGTAATCCAAATATTTTGGAATACACCTTAAGAGAATGAAATATCCAAATTTTACTATGTGTTTTGACAAAAAAAAAAGGTTCAAACCATCTAAATGTCCAGTCTGGGGGCCTTTTAGTCTTACTTGACCTGTTAATAAATTGTATGCTGGAAATAGTCTAAATGGAAACTTCCATTATTAGATATGTTTAAAACAATATGTAAGCATCTTGTTTTATTTTTCCATCTAAATAATTGTTTTCCTCTATAGGCATCATGTATGTCATTGTTTGCTAACAATAGAATGTTTTTTCATTTTATGTATGGCTCAGATTTTACTGTCATTGAAGTAGCTCATGGGTATTTGACATTGTGCTCATCTAGTAGACCCACCCAATGTGTGAAACTTAATTGTTTGCCTTCTTAAAACTGCTGCTTTCACATTTGATTGCACTCGCTTTCAGCTCCAAATACTCCTGCTGTCTTTGGTCTGTGCTTCGTCAGCACTATAATGTAGCCCTATATGAAAAAAAAAAAATCCATGACTTCCAAGACGTGCACAAAGCGATACATTCAAGTCTGTAAAACTGACCCAGAAATGTCTGATAATCTACAGCACTTAATTTTTATAATTCCAGCCAGGGATTGTAATAATTGTGTGGTGTGAGAGCTTGAATAGTGCCTGATTTATTAATTACCCTTAATTTATATTATTCTATATTTTACAAAATATTGGAGGCTTTTTTTTTTGTTTGAGGGGGCTTGTCTGTAGTCTTGCAACACTAATTGTTTCCCACAGTGGCACTTTTAAAAGGGGATCCAAGCTGTGTCAACCTTTCTCTGCTGTGTCATACTTTCTCTGCTGCAGTTCAATTTCTGACCATACAGTCTCACCCAGCCTACACGTATGAAGATTGCACAAAGTGACTGATATGGAGTCAGGGTTCTGCAAGATTCTTTTTTTTTTTTTCTGTCAGCTGTAAAATGGATTTTGATTGCTGATGTACAGGTAGCTGCTGGAGGACGAGCAGAAGAGACTGTTTGACAAAAAAAAAAGCACTCAGATACTTCTTGTGCTGCACAGCCTGCCTTTAAAAATATTTGTCAAACAAAAATAAATGAATGTAAATCAAATTCTGCCCCGATTTATTTTATAATATGCTGCATCATTTACTCATGCACCGTGTGGTTTTAAGCTTTGCTCTTAGTCTTTATGTTCTAGCAGTTAATTGTGAGTCATCGTAACCTGCAAAAATGAACTAAACAAGTAATGGAGTCCTGCTAGTTGCAATTAAATCCCTCCGTAAATAGATTTATTTTATAGAGTCCCTTGAGATCTGGTAGGAAATCAGTATCACAAAAACCAGTAAACACACCAGATAAGTCAGGGATGAAGTTGTGGAGAAGTGTGGCTGGGTTTAGAATATCTTAAAGCTGTAAACATCTTGTGACGCATTGTGCAATTTATAACGTAAAATTGGAACCAGCCAAAACACGGTTATCCAATTGGAGAATAATGGTAGTGTAATGAAAGCGACAGCCCCTTAAAAGTGCTTACATTCCCAGTTCTCACAGACTGGTTTTAACCTTACTTTAAATAACTTGTCGGTATAGTAAATGGTTATAAAACAGGACTGAAAGTTTAACAGTAATATCATCTTAACCAGACAGAGAAGATTACTCAAATTGCAGGGCTGGGATTATCTTTAACTTAGTGGAGAAAGGGCTTAGAAATGAGTCCAGCATAAGGGTCGCAACAATTTCCTACAGAAACTGTAGGGACTCACCCCGTGACAACTGTACACTATACACATAATGAACAAATAGTTTGTCATACAATGCCCCCAAAATAAAGGGAATATGTAAAAAAAACAATATAGCATCCATCTAATCAAACTCCTGTGAAACTGATCAATCTTATCTAAAATTTTGCCTAAAATAGTTGTCAAAAAAATGTGACAACTTTTTAGTGAACTTTTTGAAGAGTTTCAATCTGGTTTAAGAGCTCATCATAGCTCTAACAGCTCAGGTTAAAGACATTAGTGATATTCTTATGGCCTGAGATAATAGACTAGTATTTGTACGGTAATATTTTGTAAGAATTAAGGAAACAGCACTAGGCTGGTTTAAAGCATATTTATCTGACAGATTTCTGTTTGTTCATATTGATAATATATCTTCCTCATGCACTGATCCATGTGGAGTACCAGAGGGATCAATGCCAGGGCCCGTTCTCTATATATATTCACACTAAATAAATGTGACGGATTCTGGAAACTGACTCCAAATCCAGGCCTCTATTGATTAGATTTTTTATCAATTTTTTTTTTTATTAATTAGATTTTTTTGTTTTTATTCTAGAGCACAAAATGGAGATCCTGTTCTTACATTTCATTTACACAAATCCCTGGAAAAGCAGTTATTAATAGAGATTTTCTATTAATAAATATTAGCTAGGCAGTATGTTAAACCTGGATTCTTTCTCATCTCAGATGCCTCCATAATTCATCAGATTTGCAGTCGTCTGTATCACCAATCTGACCTTAGATCAGAAAAAGGTGCAAAATGCAAGAACACTAGCACACCATCGAGATAACATCCCCTTTACTTTGCACTAATGATCATAATTTTGATATCACATGAAATATGTAAAAGCACCTAAAAAGATTTCAGTTCTATTGTTACTGAAGTCCATTAGCTTTTGCGTGTTACTATAGAAACCAATGACTTTTAAATGTTACTCATCTATCCAAATCTGAGTTACTTGTTTTATGTTAATTTGTCTGATAAAGTAACTTATCAAATCATTATTCTTCATTCAGCAAAAAATAAGTCAATTCTAATCCAGATTGTAGAAAGCATTTTGGTGTAAGGTCTGCAAGAATTGTTTACAACTTTGCACAGTTAATGTCTAACTCTTTTTATCTTTTTGTGCTTTTTGATGCACACATATCAGCAATCAGACTTTTCTTATTACTAAACATTATTGTATTCTGCATTAGCACAAGTCTCAGATCCCTGTGTTATAATTTGTGGAAAATGCAAAAAGGCAAAATACATTGTTTTAAAAGGAGCCGGCATCACATTGCATGATCCCATGTGTTGCACGATCTTCTGTTTCTAGTCATGAGCAAGAAAACAATAGAACGAGATTGATTAAATTACACACAGACTGACTTTTTTGAGTCCCTTGATTTTTTTTTAGTTTGTCAGAGTGAAGGGGGCTGAAAACAAAAGCATGCCACACTTTTTGAATTATTTGCAAAGTTAAAAGTTAAAACTTGACTCATATTTTAAAACTGCACTTTTTTTTAAACAAATCACAACAGAATGTATAGTTAACTATGTTTAAGTAATTTGGACACTGATTAAAGGCCCATGTTTATTACAATGATCTGAGTAAATCACGTTGTACGTCAGAAATTTCTACTAACGCTGATTCTGCAGTTATAGACAGTTTTGTCCTGAAATTGTTAAATCAACTCCTCAGTTTTTGTGGTTTTGGTATTTCTCCAGTGAGACAGCTCAATGGGATCCAAATTCCTCAGAATATACAAAGAAAACAGAAAGTCAACATATTTTCTATATCTTTTATATTTGTAGTTGACTTCTTTCAACGAATAATGTAGTTAGAGATGAAATTAGTTATCTGATCTCATCAATTAAGTAGCTGCATAATACAATGAGAATAACAAACCCAGACAGAAACCTTTATTTAAACACAGGAAAATTAATGTAAATATTTTTCAACTTAAAATTGCCTTTAACCAAATCAAATGAAACCTTCTTGGTAATCCACTTCAACAGCTGCAGTCTAAATACTAACTTTGAAAGCATCAAAAATTGAAAATTATTCTCCAAAAAGTTAAATCGTTATTATCAAATACTTAAAAAACAAAAATAGATCAAGTATATGCATTAAAATAATCAACTTACAATCATTAACTTAATGTTGCTTAATGGTTCCTGCTAATGGCAAAAAAAAATGTAGAATGAAGATAAGAAAGGAAGAGGATTATATAAAGTACAAAAGTCAGTATTAAATAGAAATGTTAATGAGAGAAACAGAAGGGAAGAAGTAATAATGATCAGATTAAGAGTGGGTCATACCTATTTCAATTACAATTTATATTTGATAGGGAGAAAAAAATAATGATAAATGTGAAGGATTGATGAACTGTAAAACGTGTTCAACCTGAAAGGGAGAAATTGAGAAGAATGGTTGGAAGAACAGGTCAAAAATGAAGTTTTAAAGGAATATTAGAAAATTAAGGAAATATAAATGATGTTTACAGATGAAAGTAATAATTATTTATCTTAAAAGTAAAAAAAATACAATTTGATAGATGTACAGTAATGTTGCCACACACTCATCTACACTAGGTGGCGGTATACACCTTAAAGTTGCGATCCGCCACAATAGAAAAGAAGAAGAAGAATCTTCTAATCTATAAGAATACGGGGAGATACAGGGGGCTTTCTATTATTTTCACTGAAAGAAATGTTTCTTCCAAGAAAGCGTTAAAAAAGTAAGTAATATACACGGTTTACTCTGATGTAAAAATATGCATACATAAAAACACAGAAAATGAAGCGTGCTGTGCGGTTGGCGTCATTTTCTCTTTGTTAGTGAAAACGTGTCTTTCCTGTTCCTGCTGGAGGCTTTCAGTCCACTTTAGTATTTAAATTGGACTTTATTCTGTGCGAAGGTGAACAGGAGTCCTGCTGAGAACCATGGCGAACCAGAGGGTTCTCCCTCAGAGCAAGGAGACTCTGCTGCAGAACTACAACAAGAGGCTCAAAGATGACATCAAGTCCATCATGGACAACTTCACGGAAATCGTCAAAACTGCAAAGGCAGCTCACTGGTTTCTCTAAAATAAAATAAAAACAATTATTTTCTTTTCAAGCAGAGAAATCTGCACAGCGTTCACAGCATCATCCTCACCCAGTTTTCCATCTCTTTTTATCATTGATCAGATTGAAGAGGAGACTCAGGTATCTCGACCAACCCAAGCAGAGCAAGATCACTATGAGATGCACGTCAGAGCTGCAAACATTGTAAGGAACAGATATAACAATCTGAAATTAGCTGCTATTGTAAGTAGAGATCTACATGATGCTTCAACCTTTATGTGAAATGGTAATGGTGAAGTAGCGCTGCATACTATTGCAGGAAAACATGGTGGTAGCGGTGTCATGGTGGGGGATGTCAGTAGCCGATCCATCCCATCAGCTCATTTGCACATGCGCAGTCAGATATACATCCGGGTTTCCATAAATAATGTAATCATGGTACTAAAATTACTTATTTCTATTTCTTATAACTAACAAAAGAATACTAATATACATCTTTAAAAAATGTTTTAATGACTTTTCTGAGACAGGTTTGATGCTTTTTACATTTTTCCATTAAACTGTTTGTCTGACATCATTGTCAGACATGCTCAGAGTAGTCTGGCAAAATATGAATAAACCATGGTTATCTGTCATTTTAGTTTCTTTATTTAGGTCGCGCACTATATACCATAATGTTAACACGAAAGAAAAAATAAAACTTAAAAACACTAGATTTACAGTAGTTAGACCATGACTCATGTACGGAGGCCTCAGTCCTCGATGTGGGCGACCCGGGTTCGAATCCGGCCTGTGGTCCATTCCTGCATGTCTCTCCCCCTCTCTCATACCCCCTTTCCTGTCAAACTACTGTCCATAAAACGAGCCACTACTGCCGTAAAAAGATAAAAAATACAAAGCTGAAAAAGTTCCGGAGGTAGCGTAGGATCTGATTTCCGGTGTTGTGTCAGATCACTTGCGCAAGATGTCACATTTGCGTTTATGCCTTTAGTTTTGTACAAAAAATACACTTTAAATACCTGTTGGGCGTGTGTCACTCTAGTCATGTACAAAAAACAATTTAGGGTCAGATCACAGTATGCTTCAAAAAAACACCAAAAAGTAAGTAATTAAATTGTTTTTTTTTTGTACATGACTAAAGGAATACACACCTGTTGAGGTATTTTAAAGTTTATTTTTCATACAAAACTAAAGGGATAAACTATTGACTATGGGTATGCTGGTCTGACCGGGTAATAATTGAACTTTACTGATCTCACATTGGAGAAATTTATCTCTGCATTTAACCCATCCCCTTTGGGGAGCAGTGGGCTGCCATTGTGTGGAGCCCAGAGAGCAGTGTGGGGTTGAGGGTCTTGCTCAGGGACCCAGAGTGGCAGGGTATGCTAATCTGACAGAACACCGGATCAGATCGGGTACAGACAAGTGATAAAATAGAAAGGATTTTAAGGCATTTATTTTCCCAGGAAATACATGATAACCTTTAACACGTTATAGTTTAGTGCGCTTAAACATTTTGGGGAGGGAAAAATTTAATTAAGGTCTTTTTTACAAAATAAAATCGAGGGTGACCTGGATGTATATCTGGTTGAGCAAATAAGCGGATGGTATGGATCGTGTTTCTGGAACATATCGGGTAGTGACAGGGAACCCTTTTCATCCTATTCACAAACATTGCTAATGTGTGTTGGTCAACATCATACTTGTTTTTAGTTTTGAGGTAATTTATTTAGCAGCAGAAGGTCTGTATTTTCCTGAAGACTTCATACAGATATCATAGTAACATTTTTATTTTTTTATTGAGGTTTTAAAGAACAGAACAATGTATACATCAAGCTAAAATGCTGTAGAAAATGATATATCTGCGAAAAAAGAAAATTAGTTTTAAATATAACACAAATAACACAAATATAACAAAATTAAGGTACATCAAGTTTATAAAATAAATCTCTTTTTAAAAGATGACGGATATGTAGGGCTTTCCTGTTTGTAATGTCTTTTATTAAAGGGACATTAAGTTTTGCGTACAAAATTATTTCTGTGAAGTGAGGTTTGTGATTGGAGTACTTGGATCTGTGTATGTAAAACATCTAAAGAAGAGGAAGGTTAATAAAAAAGTACTAAAATTGTAACTTCTTGTCATAATCTCTGAAGAAAATTGAACATGTTCCCAGCATAATGAAGTAAGGGGGAATTTATTAAAAAATGAAAAGAAATACTCATACAGAAACACTTAAAGGGGAAAATACTAAAATAATGGAACTTGTTTCCCTTTGAACATCACTTCAGCTAACCTTAAAATTACTTTTAATTAGAAAGTAGAAGTTGGTTTGATTAAATTGATGCAGCATTTCAAAAAAATTTCCCTTAACCAGTACAAGTGAGAAGATGGTGAACAAAGTATATCTGTAAGGACACAGCAGCAGGGGGCTAAATGCCACACTTCACAAAGAACGACAAAACTAAAAACCCAGGAAAACATCAGAAAACATAAAATAGGGCCAGAATTTCTCTTTATGGTGAAAGGATGTTGGATATTTTTAAGATGTTTATGTAACAGGATGGATGTTCATGTAAAAGGATAGGGGGAAGAAAGAAAAAAAAAAAAAAACTACAGGAAGGTCCTTTTTTTTTTTTTTTTTTTTCTGAAGGTTTTTCATTCCGTGTTTCCGCACCAGGTTCGAGCTGGTGAGTCCCTGATGAAACTGGTGTCGGATCTGAAACAGTTCCTGATCCTGAACGACTTTCCTTCTGTGAACGATGCGATCAGTCAGCAGAACCAGCAGCTCAGAGCGCTGCAGGACGAGTGTGACAAGAAGCTGACGTCGCTTCGGGACGAGATCGCCGTCGACCTCTATGAGCTAGAGGAAGAGTATTACTCCTCCAGGTACAAATAGGCTCCCACCTGCCCCATCCCTCCGCCCCAATGTCCTTTCATAGCCTACTTAGCTTATCACCCAGCTACTACTGAGCCTGGTTACTCGATACACATTAATTCATCCCAACAAATCAATGCTGAAGGTCATCTTGTTTCATTTTCTTAAGTGCTTTTACAGCCTTACTGTTAAAAGCTTATCAGCCTTGTCTTTTATTTTATTTTTTTAAAGACCTTAAAGGGGTGAACACTACATATCTGCTTTAACTGCATATCCAGTTCTCCATCTGCTGGTCAACATTCTTGTTATAGATATCTGTGAAACATTCATCTCATTGTTCTGGTGACGCCTTAATGAACCAAAGAAGTTAACGTCAAAAATGCATTGCTGAAGTATTTATATCACTTAAATATTTTTGCCTTTTTTTTGTTTTTCCATGTGAAGACCAAAAACCTCCCTGCATTGTACTGTTGTTTTATTTGACAGACAAACTTTAGAGTACATCATAGATAAGTGGAAGAAATGATGTCTACCACTGTTACTATTTAGCTCTCCTGGCTCCATGCTTCAGAAATAATCAAGCTCGTCTCTCTTACATGCATTTTTAAGCATGTATTCTCTATGTGGCTCTGGATGTCTTCTAAAGCTGTTGCCAGGCAGAAAACTGAACCTCTTCTTCAGTTTTTAAATTGAATTCCTTTGAAATATTCTCCTAAACTCTGAGTTGCTTTGTTAGCTTTGATGACAAAAAAGCTTCCCCCAAACATGAAGCCACATTTCTTTAGGGAAACTATTTGTTTGCTTTGCCGATTGTTTTCTGGGTCTCAATTTTTTTTTGCTATTGGTCAAAACTTTCAGAGTATTTTTTTTGTTTGGTTTTGGACTGTAATCTCTAATTTTGGTCTGCTCATATGTGGCTGGTTTCCCTACATTTTACCGAGGGATCAGTTAAGAGGATAATTACTGCATTTTCCACTCTCTAGATGTTATATTAAATAAAAACACATCATTTCTGTTAAATAATATCTAAACTACCGTATTTTCACGACCATAAGGCGCACCGTACTAAAGGGGCAGTCTCAGTTATGTGTGCAATTACTGTATTTAACACACATAAGGCGCACCGGACTATAGGGTGCAGGTTTTATAAACCGGTACATGCCTCTTTTTGTGAAACTGTGGTCTCCGTCGGTCATCCATCACTCCCACGCCGCTCGCAGCCTTACTTTGAACGGCCGGTTCACATCGATGTCGAGCGGTTGAAGTTCCTTTGTCAGACCTCCTGGAATAACAGCAAGTACAGCGTTCATTTGTTTCATCTTGTTTTTCGCATTGGCTGTGAGATGGGCACGCATGGAGTCACAGATTAACAGCGATGGTGATGCGTGGAAAACACCACCTGGTCTCCTTACATACAACTCCCTCAGCAACTCTTTCATCATCTCCTCATCCATCCAGCCCTTTTCATTTGCCTTAATAACGACTCCAGCTGGAAAAGTCTCTTTAGGCAAAGTCTTTCTCTTAAAAATCAACATAGGAGGCAGTTTCTGTCCATTTGCATGGCAGCCAAGCACAACAGTAAACGTCCACACTTCCCCCTTTAACGTTCTCATGATAATAACAACACACATAGGGCGCGCCGCACATTTTGAGGGAAAAAAAAGACGTTTATATGCGCCTTATAGTCGCGAAAATACGGTACACCAGTTTATGGTTGTAACATCAAATGGTGCTAGTGTTATGAATACTTCTGCAAGTTCCTGTTTTTACTGCTGTTTTTTTTTATCAGAAACTATAACTCTTTCTTTTGTTCTGCAACATCTAATGGATTTACATCATTTTCCATTTATAGCAGAGATAAACATTTAGTAAAATCTTTTATGACTTGTTGGAAATAATTTTTATATGGAATAGGAAAATATGTTAGAAAAACTAAAGTAATATAAAGACTATTTGTTAAATACATTATTAGAATCAAAATAATCTGATGGAATTTATAAATTATTTGTACTGTTGGCTCCAGATTGGTTTTAACTTACCTGATTAGTTTGCATCTAAACTTAGTGGATTTTTTGAGGTGTGTGTTGATAAAAGAATAATTAAGAGAATTTGTTGTTTCCGTCCAATTGATCTGTAACCATGTAAACGGTTCAGAGGACCTAGAAAGACTGAGAAATAAAGCGGAGACAAAACCCTACAGCAGTTTGTTGTTTTTGGGTTCATACAGGTATAAAGGAATGTTTTTGTTGGAGCTTGCTTAATGCAGACCTAACTTTCTTGCAGCCTTTGCACTGCTGTCCTAATCAACCACTAATTCCATCCTTTTGCTCATCCTAAATCAAGTTGTAAATCCAATCAAAGGCTATCGTTTGGTTTTTGTGCTTTTTGCTTCTAACGAACCTGCTTTCATGTGCTCTGCTGTTTGTATGGGTGTGTTTATTCTGACCTGCTGCTCTTGTCTGCTTCTCTTTTTCTGCGCTGCGCTCTTTGCCTCCAAACCGGTTTCTGCTCTGCTGCAAAGTTGCAGTCATTGGAACAGCACTGACCTGCCTCTGTGCGAGGCCTACCGCCGGCGTGACAGCTGGGCCTCTCAAGATAGCAGCACCAGCTCAACCCAGGATGACCGAGATGACGTAGAGGGAACCCCAAAACAAGAAGCCAACCTGCAACACCCCATCAATGGACATGGGACAGCCCCCACGGAGAAAGCATGAAGAAGGACGGAGGAATGCTCCTGTTAAATCTGGGAAATATGGCCTATACCTTAGAGACGAGTTTTAGTTTTGTTTCATTGCCTAAAACTAGACTAATATTTCATATTTTCTGTAAAAAGTAGGAAAATTAGATGCACTGAACACAATCTTATAGAGTTCTGTAGTAGATTTAGAGCTTTTCTAAGTGAACACTTGCTGACATTCCTCCTGATATTGGCCCATTTAAAAAAAAAAAAATGAAATGCTTATTTTACTGAAATGTACAGTAAACTGAATGAGTTTCAGTTCACCTTGAAGCTTGTATTTATGCGTTTTTTTTCTTTAGAAGCAGGTATATATATATTTTTTTCTTGGTTTTCTTTCAATCCTGGACATTTTCCTTCCAGGTGCTGAAGTAGATGTGAAACAGGTCGCTTTATAGCTCGCTATTTTAGATTTCTACTGACCATGATAACATCCTCAGGGTTTTATACTAAACTCAAACCATAGTTCACACAAAATGCTGCCAAACATGTAGATAAAAATGGCCAATCACAACTTGTCAGTTAATCAGTGCATCATTCTCATTTTTTTTTTTTCTTCAGGCAATTATTTTTGGATTTATATTGTAAAATGTGTTTGTTTTTGACTTGTTAAACTAATCGGATCACATTAAAGAAAACACTGTTTTTATTTTATTGAATGTATTCATTGAAAATCCACAAAAGTAGTTTAGAGATAAATGGGAACATAAAGCAGAAACTAAGGATTTAGCAGAGAACCACAGAGTATAGAGAATAATATGCTCTAGCATTGACAATTTTACATCCAGGCCTTCAAATTTAGTTTTCCTTGATATAATTAATATTAAACATGAAATACACATAACTTATAAAGATGATCACGATGTTTTAAGTTGAACAGAAATAGCCAATAAAATATGTAAATAATCAGAAGTAAGTGAGAATTCATAAGACCAGGAACTCAGTTTTTAGTTATATTTACCTGAGGCTTCTCCACTATTTTCAGTTTCAGTCATTCCAAACATGTCTATGATTTAGAACAGGACTGTTAAAGTACAGCTAACCAGACAAATAAATCGTATATTCTAAACATTTACCATTTTGATTCAACACGCTGCAGGTGTTAAAAGAAAAAAAAATTACATTAAGGTACAACTATTAATTGTATTTGCACACTTACAACAAAAAAGACTGAAGGTTGTTGGTCAAAGTTATAATTTGTAGGAAGCCTAATCTTATCAATAGAATAACACATGCATGGCAGAATACATGTTTTTTTTTTTTTACAATAGTTAAGGGGTACAACACTGGCAATGGGAGAGCTGCTGTCATTACTCTTTAGGTAACTAGGTTATGACTCAGTGTGGAGAAAGATGACGCCATGTCGGTTATTTCCATGCTAATATCTTCGGTTCATCTTCTTGAACTTCTCATAGTGGTAGTCATCTGTGGCTTTTTCATTGTTTGGACGTTTGCGGTGGTTGGGTGGTGACGGAACTGTTAAAAGAGAAATTATTTAGACTGCTGCAGTTTCAGGACATTAACAGCGTGTGGCAGATGCCCTCTACCTTCTGGTCCAGGTTTCTCTGTATCTCCAACCCGAAGCGGTCTTGCTTTAGGTTCTTCTTTGTGTCTGTGATGCCTCTGTGGTGCGTTAACATCCTCATGATAAACTAAAAGCACAAAAAGAAATCCCCTTAAGTCCTGCTAATCATTTGGGTTATTACAACACATTGCAGTATGTAGGGATTAACTCACAGCGGTTGTGTTGGACATAATTCACAGCAATGTTTGTTGGAACGAATGATGTGCCTTGGTCTTTCTTTTTGTTTCTTTGTTCTGCCAACAGTTTGGCTTTTGCTTCTTCTGTCTGAATTATGTTTTTGATCTTTGCACTGAAAAAAAGGAAGAAGCTTTCAGTCTTGGCAAACTTCAAAATTATTTACACATCTAAAACACTAGCAATTGTGTAAAAAAAAATGGAAAAGATTATTAAACAGTCCGAACGTACTCGATGCCTAGGTCAACTTCAGGGATTCCACTCAACATCTGGTTAGATAACATCTCTTCGGTCTTCTTGGCTGAGTTGACATTGATGCTCTCAGGCAGCTCATAGAGGTGGTCTTCTGCATTTTTCACCTTGACTTTCTGTTCTTCAGCCTCCACCAAGCCCTTCTTCTTTTTTAACTCAGTCTCGATATATTTCATCCTAAGAAGATAAACACATTAAGTATTCAGATGATGCAGTGAAACTGTATCAGTTGCAATGACTTTTAAACTGCACGTGTAATTAAACCAAAATGTTTTATACTGAAATAGCCCATGATTGATTGCATACCATTCACAAAAATCCCCCAAATTATCAATATGTGACGATAAATGATATACCCAAATATCACTGGTAAACCTCAAAATTTCTGCTTGCATTTGGTCTAATTTACAGGCAATCAGCAAAAAAATAAAATCTGATCTGGAATGCATAACTACTCGACAAATAGAGAAAAAAAGACAACAGAATGCAGAACTGGACCCTCCAAAATAAAATAAAATTTCCAGAGAAAGTGAAAGAGTGTTGGGAAAAGCGCATGTAAGGAGAAACATGCATTTCATTTTTTAAAGTAATACATGTTTACACTAAACAAAATATGCAGCAGATGTCTTTTTTTCTTATACAATTTAAATCTAATGAATGATTGTAAACCTAAAAGCAGCTTTAAAACTATGAAATCTTTCATTGTGCATTTACAGGCTACAATATTGAACTCCGTTCCTCTTCCTCAGCTTTGAAAAACTACTCCTTTTTCTTGAATTTAAAGCATGAATTTGAAGCATGATTTGAAAGGCTATAGATAAATATATATGCTACATACGCTGCAGTCCTGCATTTATCAAACATATTAAAGTATCTGTTCATTAGATCCACAAACTCAGAGATATTAGGCTCCAGTCTTTGAATAGGAAGCAAACAACCATTGAGCACATATGCAATTATTAATCGGTTCCATTTTATTTTATTTCTTTTGCTCTGTATTTCTTTATTGTGCAGATATTTATTTATTGTAGAGTGAATAAAGCATACATACATGTCTGCATCCTCATCTCTTCTGTTAGTCTCAGCTGAGAAAGATGTGCCCAGGTTCAGGTCTGTCTCATCTTCTGTCCTGTAATTTGATGACACACAAATTTAACAGAGGGTACGCCTATTTGTGAAATCAAGCTCTTTTATTTACAATACGCCAAAATGCAAGTGCATTATTAGCGTTAACTTACATGTCTCTGTTCCTGTCTTTCACTTTCTTCATGTCCACAACCCCCCCAGTCTTCAGTTTGAATGGATCATTCTGTCGGAAATGATCCGTTTTGAAAACAAATTTAAAACATGTTCTAAATACACACAAATGTTGAGAATCAATAACATGACTTACATCTATTTCAGCTTCTGGTGGAAGTTTCTCTCCAACCAATAGGGCGGTTATACTGGAAAAATAATTACATTGTAAAGTTACCAATGAATGGTCTATTCCACACGCAGGAGACTTTGAATAAATTGTAATAATGTATTACTGTTTAATAAACCAGTTTAAAACTTGACACTCATTTGTGGATTCGTTAAAAAACAGGGTTACATATTTCAAATACTCAATAGTTGAATAGGTTGTAGTGAGATAACTCCTAAAGAGATTCACTGGTCTCCTCTACAAGGAGGAGAAGGCCATTGTTGTAAAAGCTGGCTGAAGCTGGCTGCTTCATGGGGGAAGTTTTACCTAGTGGTTAGAGCAGTGCGCTTTTGCTCTGAGAAGTTTGCAAGCACTGATCTCTGTTTATTCACTGGATTGCTGATTGGCTGAAAAAACAGAACCCACCATCTGCCATGCTGGTACTCCCCACTCCCATGGAGATATGCAGTAAAAATGCCTACATGTGCAGCCTTGGCTGCAAATACAAGCAGTTTGCCGGCTCTGGGAAGATGTTCCACAGGTAATTTCACAGTCAGTGGATGTACTAACTAAGAAAATCCACATACACTATATTGCCAAAAGTATTTGCTCACCCATCCAAATTATTGGAATCAGGTGTTCCAATCACTTCCATGGCCACAGGTGTATAAATTCAAGCACCTAGGCATGCAGACTGTTTTTACAAACATTTGTGAAAGAATGGGTCGCTCTCAGGAGCTCAGTGAATTCCAGCGTGGAACTGTGATAGGATGCCACCTGTGCAACAAATCCAGTCGTGAAATTTCCTCGCTCCTAAATATTCCACAGTCAACTGTCAGCTGTATTATAAGAAAATGGAAGTGTTTGGGAACGACAGCAACTCAGCCACGAAGTGGTAGGCCACGTAAACTGACGGAGCGGGGTCAGCGGATGCTGACGCGCATAGTGCGAAGAGGTCGCCAACTTTCTGCAGAGTCAATCACTACAGACCTCCAAACTTCATGTGGCCTTCAGATTAGCTCAAGAACAGTGCGCAGAGAGCTTCATGGAATGGGTTTCCATGGTCGAGCAGCTGCATCCAAGCCATACATCACCAAGTGCAATGCAAAGCGTCGGATGCGGTGGTGTAAAGCACGCCGCCACTGGACTCTAGAGCAGTGGAGACGCGTTCTCTGGAGTGACGAATCGCGCTTCTCCATCTGGCAATCTGATGGACGGGTCTGGGTTTGGCGGTTGCCAGGAGAACGGTACTTGTCTGACTGCATTGTGCCAAGTGTAAAGTTTGGTGGAGGGGGGATTATGGTGTGGGGTTGTTTTTCAGGAGCTGGGCTTGGCCCCTTAGTTCCAGTGAAAGGAACTCTGAATGCTTCAGCATACCAAGACATTTTGGACAATTCCATGCTCCCAACTTTGTGGGAACAGTTTGGAGCTGGCCCCTTCCTCTTCCAACATGACTGTGCACCAGTGCACAAAGCAAGGTCCATAAAGACATGGATGACAGAGTCTGGTGTGGATGAACTTGACTGGCCTGCACAGAGTCCTGACCTCAACCCGATAGAACACCTTTGGGATGAATTAGAGCGGAGACTGAGAGCCAGGCCTTCTCGTCCAACATCAGTGTGCGACCTCACAAATGCGCTTCTGGAAGAATGGTCAAAAATTCCCATAAACACACTCCTAAACCTTGTGGACAGCCTTCCCAGAAGAGTTGAAGCTGTTCTAGCTGCAAAGGGTGGACCGACGTCATATTGAACCCTATGGATTAGGAACGGGATGTCACTTAAGCTCATATGTGAGTCAAGGCAGGTGAGCAAATACTTTTGGCAATATAGTGTATATGCCAATGTATCTTACAGTATAGTATGTAGCTTAACATTAGGCTGGCTATCTTGGACTTACTTGAAGTTAGTCACTAAATTAGCCATTGACATCGTGTCTAAGGTAAGAAAATAGAAAGTAGAGTAAATAGAAAATAATTCACTGTGAAATGTCAATGTAGTAATTCGTTATTAAGTGGATGCCGAAAAAAAATAAAAATAAAAAATATATATATATATATATATATATATATATATATATATATATATATATATATATATATATATATATTGCACTGCATTACCAGACATGTAAGATGTAATTAATTACCATAACAATCTAATAAATACATATATATTACATGTACATCAACAATGTGCCACTTTGGACAAATCTGTATTATCACACTGCTAACACATTAATTTTATTGTGATCAATTCGTATGTGTTATATTACATGAATTAGAAACTTCATTGACTTCATAATGTGTTTTTTTTTATTATATGTTAAAGTAATCTACTTATGCTATGAAACAGCAAGTGTGTGTTAAAGTGACAAATTTATCTTTATTTTAAAAAGTCTTCAGTCCTCCTGAAAATGAGAACATTGTCATTGTTCGATGTTGTAGCAAACCAATTGTTTACATTGTGACAAGGGAGTATCATTATGGCGGCCGGTGGCTTCACTTCAACCCCGTACTGTTCGATCCCCACAGCCTGCACTTGGATTCCTGAGCAAGACCCTGAACCCCACACTGCTCCCCCGGCACCACACAGTGGCAGCCCACTGCTCCCCTAAGGGATGGGTTAAATACAGTAAATTTACCCATTGTGAGACAATAAAGGGATTTGCAGTTATTACATTTATTTATGGAAGTGTTACAATGCAGATTTGATTAGGAGATAAAAGTCTTTATAATTAAAAGGAATAGGAGCAGCTTTGAAAATGTTTCCCTTTTAAAGGTCTGCTGAGAAACATGGCATTATCTGTGATTGGAAATTGTGCTTCATGAGCCACCACACATAGAGATCTGCATGGCATATATTTGTCACATTCCTTGTATTAAGGTAATGCTGAAACAGACATCTGGATAATTGTATTTACACAAAACTATCAAACTATTACTCAGAGGTTCACAGGAAGGAAATTTGAATTTCCAATGTAATGAGATGCGTCTTCTGCTGGTGTAGATTGACTGCTAAATAGCTATAATATCACCTGTCTGATAGGCGAGCAAATTAACCTGACCTGAAAAGATTAAAAAATATATGTGTACACAGGTTAATCACCTTCATGCTACATCGTAATTTCCTCATCATCTGAATTAACATAAACAAACACCTATATACGCGTATAATAAATAGCAAAAGCCTTCCACTTTTCCAATCCACTTTTTAATAGCATTTATCCATGGTGTTGATCAATTTGCAATGCGCTTCACAATCACACTAAAACTAAAGGAGTTTGTCTGATGAAAAAAAGCAAACCCACACTACCTGACTCCGGTCTGCCGTTTCCTCAAACTCTGAAGTTCTTTTGCCTCCTCTAATTTTGACCTAGAATTAAAAAAATAATAAATAAAATTAAACACACTGGTTAAATAGCTTTTTAAATGTGTAAAATATGTAAACCACGCTTCATAAATTCTAATTGCACAGGTTGCTAGCTAAGACGGCGTTAGCTTCAAATATATTTTAATCTATCTTATTTTTTTACCTGACTTCTTCTGCTGTCTCATTATCCTCCTCTTCTTCATCAGATGAGTCCCTTCTCCTTCTAAAATTTTTACCACAAGGCATTTTTTATTAATGATGCGAAGCTCAAAAACAATGCGTTTTATGCCAGCAAGCTGTTGAAATGCTACGGGGGGAAACTTTACCGCACGTACAATAATAACACGTCACTTCCGCCTTGTACAAAGCCACTTCCGTCCTTGTTAGTTAACCAAAACAACCATGGCGACTTATGCACAGGTCGGGAGGTTGTTGGGTATTTCAGCAAGATTTGTGCGACCGTAAGTATATATTTTAGAAAAAGGATGCAGACAAATTTTTTTTTCACGTCGTCTTTTTTTTATTTTTGGCCTCTTTAAAATCGCTATATGTAGCTGTGGCTAACTAGCAGGCTACTGGCTTGTTAAACATGAATGACGCAGACTCAAACTACTAACCATAGTAAGAAAAGAGAGATTTGTTTCTTTCTTCTTTCGAGGCTTGTTTTACATTTTAAAGCATTATTCTATTCATAAGTGGCCATAAAACAACTTTTAAAATGGATTTTGTGTAATTTTAGAACCAATTGATAATGACCAGTTAGTTGTTTGAATGCACAAAATTATCTGGTGAAACTGAGGGAGATCAAATTACGTGACAGATCAATATGTTTATAGTTAAAGTAGTTTAATTAATTAATGTAGTTTATTGTGAAAATATAGTAATTAATTTAAATCTCATAAAAATGGAACCCTAGATATATTGTATGTAAAATTAATAAGAATCTCCTAGGCATAAAACAATAGTCTGTTATGTAAATAGTGTTAAACAAAAACTTAGCCCTTAGTTTAGTTTAAATGCGTAAAGTTTATTTTTACAGTGGTTAATTGAAATGTCATCTCAGGTCATGATATAGACAAATGGATCCAACTTATATTGAGCTCTATGATATTTAAAATGACTTCAGCAAATACCTTCTACCTACAGAAGCAGCGATGATTGGATCAAGTTTTGAATTTGAAATCCTCATCTTGGATTTTTAGTGATGATGGAAACGAGGCAGTTCTAGTTATCCAGGAATGAACCTTTGCATGTCAACAACATACATATTAAGGGTTTTGCTTCTGATCTAAAGGGGGAAAAAACTATAAAGTTAAGATTATTCTTTTTAGGAAAAGTGCAGTGTTTCTTGACCTTTACCTGTAAATGAGGTCATATGGGGATCCCTGCTTCACACTGGAAATCTATTAAGTTTCTCAAGTAATATATTAAGTATTTGCGACACATTTTTGTTTAAACATTTTTAGAGATCCAAGTGTATTTCTTGTTGGAGCAATGATTATTAAGGCTCCTGACTCTATTGTAAAACTAATTGTACTTCCTAATATTCTATTATTCTTTTAGAAAAGATGAACTAGCGGGTTGTTATAGTTTTTAAAAGTGTCTGATGAAAATCTATTAAATGTGCCAACTTTAGGCTACTAAGGGTCCAGTTAACTATCCACTGTCTGGTTTTGTTGGAGTTGAGATAAAGATTATTTAAGTGGATTTGCACCCTGTGTCTTCTCAGCTCAAAGGTCCAAGATAGTGGTTTCTGAAGTGTGTGGGTCTTATCAACAATGTAACATGAGATCTATTTTTCAACATTTTATTCTCATTATAATTTGATTTCAATATATAACAATTGAAGCAGTTTTGTTGTAATTGTAAATTGTTTAGCTGGTTTAAAAGCTGTGCTTTACAACATCCATCCATCCATCCGTCTTCTCGCGCTGAGTTCTTGTCAGGGTCGCAGTGGGGCTATCTTCTGCAGTCTATGGGTTAGAGGCGGGGTACATCCTGAGGAGGTCACCATTCTATCGCAGGGCAACACAAAGACACACAACCACGCAGACACACACTCACACCTAAGGACAATTTAGAGATGCCAATTAACCTAACAGTCGTGTTTTTGGACTGTGGGAGGAAGCTGGAATACCCAGAGAGAACCCACGCATGCTTGGGGAGAACATGCTAACTCTATGCAGAAAGATCCAGGCCCGCAATCGATCCCAGAACCTTCTTGCTTGCAAAGCAACTGTACTACCCACTGTGCAGGCTGCTGCACAACATATTAAATAGAAATCATCATTGCAGTGTCACGTCTTGCAATATTTCAAAGAACTGCTTACACTTTGCCTTCAGTAATACATTTGGACAGTTGGATTACCTTTAAGTTATCTAGAAGATTGGTTTTGGTGGCAAAAAACTGAAATATTTGGAAGAAAGAGAAGAGTGTGAATTTATCACAACCTTTAATTCAATTTAATCTTTTCCCTCATATAACCTTAAGTATAAGGAGTGTTGATGTATTTAACTTATATATTTTAAGACCTAAAATTCTATAGTTATTATTTTGTCTATTTTGAAGTTTGCCAGCAACTGTCCAAAAACTGTAATCCTCCAATGAAAGCTGTCATTATTTAAAAAGATAAAAACTTGCATGTAAATCTCAACTACTAGCTTTAATATTTTGATTTTTCCTTCATGGCTCCAGGGGCACCTTAATGTGTAATAGGAATAATTTTGCGTATGTGGTAATGAAACTGTAACCTTTTTCAATATGTTTATCATTTCAGACTGGCTAATAGTGGATGTCAGAGCAGTAGATCCTACTGGTCCTCGCAAGTCACAGGATTCTCAAACAGATGGCAACAAAACCCCGTCTGGGTCGTTCCTGGTTTGTTTATTCTATATTTCATTAAACCTGGTTGTTAGTGTAATGATTGCTTTTCTTGTGGTAACAGCTGCTCACATACTGTGGGAAGATCTTATATTTGTAGATGGAATTCAATCAGATAGACAGAATTTATAATTGTTTAACATCTCAAATTACATTTCTTTCCACGGTGTTTTGTCTCTTCTCAGGAAGGACCATGTTTGTGCAGACACAGGACACGCCAAATCCAAACAGCCTGAAGTTCCTGCCTGGGCGAACAGTTTTAGAGGAAGGGACTATGAATTTTCCCACCTCTCGTGATGCATTCTGCTCACCTTTAGCCAGGTGTGGGAGTTTTTTTATTTAAGTACTTATTCATCTTAGAATGCTCTTTATGATAACATGTTTTTGTAACTCACAAATGTAAAAAAAAAAAAAAAAAAAGGTAAATCAGTCTATACTATGTTTATTTGATACATTAGTCTTTCAAAAGCTGTGTATTTTATATGTATAGATGGGACCCAAAACTCCCACCTGGAAAGAAAATATTCTTTTGACTTCAGCTTAAACCTTTAAATGTCCTTTAAAGTGCGTTACAACTGACTTTGTAAAAACAATGTTTTCTTTTTAAGGTTCTTGTAATTTTGCTTCTTTTATTCCAGATTTTAACAGCTATATACCAAAATCCAATTTAAATTAAAATATATAATTTACAATTATATAGTTATGTGTGTTTATATATATATATAGATGCTGCCCTCTGGGAAGAGGCTTCGAAGCATCCGATGCAGGTCCAGCAGATTCCATAACAGTTTCTTCCCCACTGCCATTAGACTGCTGAATGTTGTGTAAAATGGGTTCTTTTATTTATATTAAAAAAATATATAATAATATTAGAACTGTAAATATTCAGTCATATGTTTATATTACTATTTTTTATGTATTTATTACTGTTTTCAAGGCTGCACTTTAAAAAATGAAATTGTGTAGAGTTGTTTTAAACAAAATTTCTTTTGTTTACACTCGTGTATACAAAATGACAAAAATAAATCTGTCTAAGTCTATAGTATAATAGATTTTATAGTATACATACTTTCTGTATTTGCTTAATGTTAAAGTATATATTGTATCTGCCTTTGCTTAAACAATAAGACTCATTTAAAATTATCTTTGAATTTCTGTCATTCATATTTGATTTCTCCAATACCTGCTTTTTTTAGACAGCTGTTTCGGATTGATGGAGTTAAGAGTGTCTTCTTTGGCCCTGATTTTATCACCATCACAAAGGTAAATTTCATGGTAACATTCAGCTCGTCTCAAAGCTCTTATACTCTTATATACTCATTGCAGAATAATGCCACAGCTATGGCCGGGTAGAGGACCTAAAGATTGTCCTCATTTGAGAGTAGAGCTGTTAACAAATATTTTCACTCTAGTAAAAATAAATATTAACCATTTAACAAATAACTTGGAGTGAAGAGGTGTTTGGTAAAAAAAAGGCCACTGCAGTACTGTTACTTATAATCAAATGTTTTCAATGCAAGATTGTCTATTTGGGTTTTATATGCGTTCCCTAACATTTCTGTGATTTTTTTTTTCTTCCCCTGAGTGACCTGGTCTAATTTCCTTTAGATAGTTAACTTATTCAAGCTTCTGTTGAACCACACCTTAAATTCAGAGTTAACAATTCCTGGTTCAAAATTCGAATAAGAGGCTAACCAGTTGAAAATCTTAATTTTATTTTGAATTAAATATTTCTTGACTATTGTATGCCAGGTCTCCACAGTGAATTTTCTGATGGAATCATGTTCTTCCTTATCTCCTCTTTGACAATAGTCTCCCTCAACTCTGTTTCCTTCCACTTAGCTGTACTGATTGTTGTGCACCAGCACATCAATAGCTTTGATGGTGCTGCATAATAAACATTTTTGAGGTCTGGGAGTGCCACTCCTCCCTCTTTTTATGAGTCTTTGGAGTTTTGAATATCTAATTCTTTCTTTACCACCATTCTAAACAAATATTGTTTTTTTTTTTATCTCACTCTATGGATTGGGAGGATGGTATCCTCACTGGCCGGGGCTGAAACATATCTAAAATTCTAAGTAGTACTTTAATCTTCATTATTTCAATTCTGGCATTTAGATCAAGAATCAAAACATTCCACTTTTCCATGTCTTTGATTGTCTGACTAAGTGGATTAGAGTTAATTTTTATGCTTGTAATTGTTATTCCCAGGTAAACAATTGATTATTTTAAATCCATTTTATCATATTCTATATTTTATGTATAGAATATTGACTCTCTATTGTTGGAAAATGACCAAAATTTAAATCCTCTGCTCCAATTTCTTTTTTTAATAAGATTAGTAAAGTAATAATGTGACTTTCACTATTTTTTGTTTCTATGCTCAGTCCGATGAAACATTGGAATGGAAAGTAATTAAGCCTGATGTGTATGCTGCTATCATGGACTTCTTTACTTCTGGGCTTCCAGTTGTGAATGAAGACAGCAAGCCGAGGGCCGATACAGGTCAGGATCCCAGTCTGCTGAACCTGTAAGATGAGATGTTTTCCCATTTCCAAATAACAGCAACTTCCTTTATTTATTTATATTTCAGCACCATCAGAGGATGATGATGAAGTAGTTTCTATGATCAAAGAGCTGTTGGATACACGAATAAGGTAAATGCTCCTGAAGATGCCTCCATAAAACCAGATTCCTTAGTTCGTCCCTGTCTCATCCTTCGGATGCTCCCACTCTGCAGGCCTACAGTGCAGGAGGACGGCGGTGACGTTCTGTATCGGGGATTTGACGACGGCATTGTAAAACTAAAGCTGCAGGGGGCCTGCACCAGTTGCCCCAGTTCCATTGTTACCCTGAAGAACGGCATCCAGAACATGCTGCAGTTTTACATACCTGAAGTTGAGGCGGTGGAAGAGGTTTGCTTGTTTGTTTTTTTATTTTTTTCTATCAATGACTCCAGTTTTTATTGGAATAATCTGAATTATCATTATTCTGCTGGGTCTCTTAAAAATTATACTTTTGTTTTTTGTTTTACAAAAGTCAAAGATTCAGGTTCCATAAGCTTGGCAAACTGAATCTCTCACACCAGAAGAAAGATTTATTAGTCGTCTTGGTTTCATCTCTATTCTTCTAATGTTATCAGACATTTTGGAAATTGATTTCTAAGCAAATAGTGCAACATTTGCCATCTTGAATGAGGAAATCCTTTTCTACTAAACCTTTTTGTTCCTATGAAACTAAATCAAGACTTTAGTGGAGAATGTCTTGTTGACAAAAAAATTATTATTAGACTAACCACAAAGTTCTGTTTATCAAGTCATAAAAAAATTTCTTTTTGTCAGTTAATCCTTTGAAAGATAATAAATCATGGCGAAATAATCTGATTATTTACCCTGTATCATAAAGTTTGGGAATACCTGGCATTTTTTGCTAAAATTATCGATAGTTATGCAGATGTACCTTAGTGATTTACATTTTTTTTTACTTTTAGTTTGTGCATTGAAGGCAGTCCACCTTGTTTCCTGTTAGCTGTCATAGGTGAAAATGAAACGGTACATCTGGGTGCAAAAACAAAAACTACAGCCTGCAAAGGTTAAGATGTCTGAAAAATTATGTAACTCATGTTTGCTTCTAAATGCTGATAAATGAATATTCATTTAAGTTTAAGCTAGAGATCCAAATGTTATAGGTGCCTACTAATTACTATTAGTAGTTCCTTTTAGTTAAACGAATGAATGAATGAGAAAAGGAACATTTTGTTCCATTAGGAAGTTTAAATAAATTTTCTGATCATTTGACTGTAGAAAGATTTTTACCAGCAAAACATTTTCCCCAAAAATATTTTGCAACAAGCTTTGTGATGTATTTTGGATGTAGCATAGGAATCACAAGATATTAAATGCAATAATCTGTAAAATGTCAACCTAGACATGTTTTTTGTTTTCCTCAAAGGTGAAGGAAGATGAGGACGAAGAAGCAGCTCAAGTTTAACCAGATCCTGTTCAACACACCTCCTTCTTTTAAAGCCATAGATGCAATACAACTGCTCTCAGCACCACTCTGATTCCAAGAACTCATCCTCTTTATTCATCCAGGTTTTTTCATTTCGTTTTGTAGTTCTGGCCTAAGTTATGGCAGAACTGAAATAAAATGCAAGACAAAATTCATATAAAAAGAATACGCTGAAATAATTTGTATTTATTCTTTCATAGTGTTACATGACTTCTGAATCAGTCAGCAGTCAAAGCTGCCTATAGGCTGGAAATTCATATTGGATACTTTATCTTTACAGAATATATACTGTGTCTATATAAATAAACATTGTTTAAATTCTTTGTTACAGCGTCTAATTTGATTAATTGTCCAATGTCCTACGTTTAATATAATCCTCTGTGAGAAGTATAATCTTGGAAATATTTTAGTCATGCATTGTTTCTATACACAGATAACAATCAGTGAACCTGCAAGCTGTTTTTAATAAAGCAGTTTAATTTTTATTAATGAATTGAAGAGTTATTTGATAACTATGATGAGCCTCACTCTGAAACTACTTGTCTGAAGATTTACTTCACTGATGCTATAAATCTAGCAGCACTGGGGAATTGAGGTCTGCTGGAGCATCAGTTCATGTTTGTTATACATCAGTATGTATACATTAGGCAAAGGGTAACTTCTATTGAAGCATATCAAGATATTTCAAGTTTCAAATGACATCACAGATGTCATCCACTCTTCTGCATTCCTTTTTCATTGAGACACTCTTTCCTCTATTATATCTTTACTTTGTTTTGTTCCTTTTCTTTCTCTGTGTCCTTGCGGTAGCTTTGCACCACTGGTAAACTAATCGAGATAAAGTCAGCTTTTTATAATTTATTTCTGTGTCTCTTAAATACACTGATGCGGAAATTAATAGAAAAGTAATAATCTTTAAGAACTACAGTTTGCATAAGCTTTATGTATATTTACAAAGGTTTTCAGAAAGTAAGCACTGGAAAAGCAATAGTAACAAGTTCATTCTGCAATACTTTATAAAACTACTCTCAGTTGTAATAAGATCACAAGAAACCTTCAGTATTCCAATCTTATCTTACTGATAAACATTAATCGTTACCTATGAAACAATAACTTCTGAAATAACTCTCTACTATAAATCAAAGTCAGGACAGTGGGTGATGTTTGGACCTTTGCAAAGGTAGATAAGATCAGCAGAAATGATCGCTTTCTCATGTAAGTATTGGCCGATCACCAATATCCCAAAATTAAGGAAATTAAGACCAATCAATCAGTGTATCCCCATTACAAATTGGTTAGAAAATTTAAATATTTCTATGATAAGCTTGTATGGACTTTAACGTCATGAGCATAAACAGTTTTGTATGTGTAAAATTCAGGGTGTTTAAATAGTGCATTTACATTTGTCCATAAAAAATGTTAAGGGAAATTTGAGTTCCATCACAAGTTAGTAAAAGCAGTTGGTGGCTTTTTTTCTATATGTGACTGAATGAAAAAAAAAATTCAGTTAATCAAAGGAAAACGCTATTTTGAGTATTTTTATTTTATATTTATTTGTTTTCTGAGGTGCCAAAAATTGATGTAATATAATGATATTAGGCTGTAACACAATGCAGGTGTGCCACTGCTGCATTTGTGGGAAAAACTAGTAAAATATAATATAGGCTACCAGTTTTAATAACGGTGAAATAGCTGTATTAACAATGTATCTCTAGTGTAAATAATTTAAAATCGTGCTACTTTTCTCTAACAAACAAAAAAATAAAAGTTGTAATATTATGGAAGCAAATTTAAAATCCTATGAATGGAATAGATTTAATACCGAAAGGGAGGCGTTATTTACACTTGTGCTAATTAGTTGACAATTCATTAACAACCTTTTAAGATACATTTATGCCGCAAGGCAGGATCTACGACATGGTCACATCCTGATGCCACGTCATTGGTATGTACTCATTTGTACGCCCAATGAGACTGACACGGTGCTCGACCAATTATAAGCTGCCGCTGAAGAAGAGGGTCGGCCCAAGCAGAAATATCGACCAATCGCAACGCAGCTGAAGGAGGCGGTTCAGTCTGAGGGAGGTCCGATGGGGTGGAGGCAACTGACAGGCGTCCGCAGCTTCCTTAGTCCTGAGTAGCTGTGTCTGACAACAGCGCTGCAGTCATGTGTGGTGAGTTGTTATTCCTCTCGTGTCTCATCCATTGGTCATATTAGGCTGTTCTCTCTTATCTAGCAGTGAAAATAAACTAAAATGAACCAGTGTAGGCTTTATGTTAGCTTGAAGGTTGTTAGCTGAGCGGCTAACCTCAGTGCTGTTAGCAAACATGAGCTTGTTGCTGATGCTGCTCGTCAGCTAAATATAAAACAGTCACTCGTCGTTTTTTCGCTTCGTTTGTGACCCATAAGTCATCGTTGTGTGTATTCATATGCGAATTGAATAGAAATGAAATTCCTGCTACCTGCCTTCTAACGTCACCCAGCTAATATGTCTGTATGATGACGCGTGCTAACTTTCCAGTTGCTATTTTGTGTCATTCTGATTTAATGATCGAAATTATCATTTAGTCATTATGTTTGACATCTGCTGACAAAGTAAAACAACTACAATTGAATTGGTTTATTGGTTTTTCCCTTTAAGGTAAAGTAATTAAGTTGTTTTTAGTTTCCTTTCATTCTGCTTCTCTTGTGACTGATGGCTGATGTGTCTGTCTGCCATCACTGTCATCCCAATCTGATCCGACCAACTGGGCCTGATAAACTAGTTTAAATAGTTTTTCTTTCAACATCTGCTGCTGCTCTATCAGCAAGTTGACCTTTACTTGTTGGGTCACAGTGCTTCATCAGTGGTTGTTCCTGTAGGTTATTCATTATTTTATCCCTGCCCCTCAACCCCTCCCTCCATCACCTGCTGCTCTGAATGACTGCTCTGTATCCCAGCTTTCTTCAGGGTTAACATTTGCATTCATCTGTGACTGCAAAGCTGAGTAACTCTTTGTGATTTCATGTACTACTCTGGCCACGACTAATTTTTTTGCTTCTTGGTGGATTAAGATGCAGCTCAGTCTCAGAGTGAAATAGTTTTTTATGATTAAAAATAAACCAATTAATTTATGTCTGTGACATAGAAATACAGCAAACACCATTGAGCTGGTTTAGTGGTTATACATCAATAAGTCTTAATCTGAGTTAAAATACCAAAATGAAAATTTCTGCACCAAGTAATTCTCACTGATATCACTGTTAAAAGGTTTTCATCAGTAAGACACCTTGAAGGATTTTAATGGGTCAAATATAAATGTCTGATTTTAGAGTTCTGTAGGACCAGTTTCACATGAATTGCTTATCTGCCTCTTGACATAAACCACTCAAATATTGTAATGTTCCATTTTCAAAAGTTGAATAACATTAGTGTTATTTCGGTCTTGGTAATAACCGAATCTTATATGTTATTCTTATAGTTTAAGGATGTTATTGATCAGTGTTTGGTTGCGTGATGTGAATTTATTACAAACCTGTGAATTCTCTTTACATTGTAATAATGAGTCTCTTTAATAAGGGAGTCATTCCTTAATGACACCTCACACTTAATTGAAGGTATTACTGGGCAGTCAATAGATTGTTACCAATTGTTATTTTATTTTGATTATTCTGTATTATAATTTCTATTAAATGAGCCTCTTTATGTTATTGGATCTGACTGTGACACGGTGTATATATACGGTGTATGTGTATGTGTATGTATGTATGTATGTATGTATGTGTATATATATATATATATATATATATATATATATATATATATATTTAATATGAATTTGACCTGTTTGTACAGGGCCTTAAGGTGACATGACTTGAAGTAATGTTTGCCATAGATAAATCGGTCGGGGCTGAAAGAATCGTTGTCTAATGCTTTTGAAAAACCACCCGATGTTGATATTTTAGCCTAGCCTATGTTCCACTTTTATTTTATTATTCCCTCTTCTGTTTCTCAGGAATATTTGCGTATCTCAACTATCATGTCCCAAGGACACGTCGGGACATCCTTGAGATCCTCCTCAAAGGTCTGAGACGCCTGGAGTACAGAGGCTACGACTCAGCGGGTGAGAAAGACGGGGGAGGCACATTACCCCCAACATTCTTTCTTAACTTTCTTTATCAGTTCAGACAGCTCACTCTTTAATTTACACTTACTTGTGTGCTGCATCTTGGTGGCTGAAAATGTGACTTTTTTTTTAATATGAGGCAGCGTTTTTAATTGGGAGAGGTTTGGTGTGACTGGGGGGTTAGAGCAGCGCTTCAGCTCAGCATGTTAGAATGTGTGTGAACGTCAGGTGCACTCAGTGGTTCAGTTAAGAAATGCAGAATACATGATGCATATTATATATGAGAGAAAACCGAAGATAATATTTGGGGCTTTGGGCATTCAGTTAGACCTAAAGACCACTCGTAATGATGTCAATCTCAGCCATTACTCTAAAATACATTTTAAAGATAGTTATAAATTGTTTTACTTTTCAAGGTGAAGTGATGATAAAACTTCTCAGATTAATTTTACGAACACGGATTATATTCATATGTTTGTTAAATGCATTAACTTTTATCTTTAGGACAAATTTGAAGCTCAAACCCACACCAACACAAATATTTCATTCAACTTTTCTTAGCAATTTGCGCCTCTGACAGATGTATTTTGTTGCCATCTATAGAGTGAAGGCAGCAGTCTTGCTGGATATTTTGACCTGCTTTATTTAAGCTCATATAAATTCCGTGGTTGTTTTTTTTTTTTTTTTTTTTTTTTTCTGTCCAGTACACAATTTTTTGTGTAATTTATTCTCATATTGTCAGATTTTCGGGGCTGCCTGCTTTATTTGTTTTAAAGTCAGTTCTGATCTGATTGGGATCAGCTTCCTTTTGTAATGAGCAGCTTTGTCCAGTTAGACCGGTTTTATTGCCAGCTGATTATTTGCCCCATGCACTGGCTAGATTGACATGATCTAGATGTGACTTGCCTATGGGCTTTAAAATAGGTATTTGTGTACATTTAAGCTTGTAGTCGTAATTTGAAAATGTGGATTAAATTAGATATAAGTTTTGTACTTATGCATTCTGTTTTTGATTTTAAAAATGTAGACCTTTCCTAGATGGAAAATAAAACCATTGAAACCTCATAGTTAATGGGACATTTATGTATAGAAATGATTGCATATAGATTCAATCAAGCATTGTAGATTTTGGCTTCTCTTTAGTTAGTTCTCTTTTGAGATTCTAATTTGTTTTGTTCCTTTTTTTTTTTGTTCTTTTTTTTTTTTTAGGTGTTGGGATCGATGGAGGCAACAGCAAAGACTGGGAGGCAAATGCCAAGACTATCCAGCTGATCAAGCAACGTGGAAAAGTTAAGGCCCTGGATGAGGAGATTAACAGTAAGCTGAGATTACATTTAGTTTGAGTCAGTCGGATCTAGAGCTATTTTAAACATGTACCTGATTTTTTTTTTTTTTTTTTTTTTTTTGACCTTTAGAACAGCAGGATATTGACCTGGATGTGGAATTCGATGTTCACCTTGGCATTGCTCACACTCGCTGGGCGACCCATGGCGTGCCCAACCCAGTCAACAGCCATCCACAAAGATCAGACAAGAACAATGGTCAGTTGTTTTATAAATGTCAAAGTAAATAGCCCAGATTATTTAAAACAGTTTGAACTGTGTTACTCCCATGGATTTTATAACAAATTATAATGATCTCTCTGATTTGCAGAGTTCATTGTAATTCACAATGGAATCATTACCAACTACAAAGACTTGAGGAAGTTTCTGGTGAGGTTATGTTCCTTGTAAAATAAAAGGTTAGTCTGATTTCACTCTTTTCATAAACGGCTCATCCACTCATGTTAACTCTACAGGAGAGCAAAGGCTATGAGTTTGAGTCTGAGACAGACACTGAGACTATTGCCAAGCTGGTGAAGTACATGTATGACAATCGGGAAAGTGACGACATTAATTTTTCCACACTGGTGGAGCGTGTGACCCAGCAGCTGGTAAGTGGAGCTAATAAAGATCATCAGAGATGCAGCGGTTTCGATAACATGTCTTTTCACTTGGCAGGAAGGAGCTTTCGCTCTGGTGTTTAAGAGTGTCCATTACCCCGGAGAAGCAGTTGGCACAAGGTACGTACTGACAAACTGATACAGGGAAAATGCTATGTAAAGCTGACCCCAGTCTGAAATGAAATATCCTATTTTATAAAAAAAAAAATAATGGTAATATATAAGCTCTAGGTGTTTTTTGTTTAAGTTGGAAGCCAACACACTGTCAGATTTTTGATTTAAGTCTACCTTATTTTGTGCAGGAGAGGAAGCCCTCTTCTGATGGGAGTACGCAGTGATCACAAGCTGTCTGCAGATCATATCCCAGTGCTCTACCGCTCCTGTAATTATTCCTGTCTCTGTTCCTGGTCTGAACAGTTTACTTTTGATGGAACTTAAGCCCTAACTGTTTTGTTTCTCCAGCTGGAAAAGAGAAAAAGAGCTGCAATGCCCTGCCAAGGACAGAGCAGGACACCTCCCTGTTCCCACTGGATGAGAAAGCTGTGGAGTATTACTTTGCATCTGACGCCAGGTGAGAAGATACATGTTGCGGCATCAGCCTTGAAAGTATTCTCCTTTTCACTGTTCACACTGCTTTGAAGGTATTCTCTGTATTTTTTTTACTTATTACTAGGATGCAATGCTTTCATTAAATCTTAGGAAGTAAATATCTGAAATGTGTGACACATATGTAGCTTTTCCCCCTTCACTCTGAAGCCACTTAATATAACAGAGTGACACTGACTGCCCTCACTCCATCCATTTAATATCATAAATCCTACTTTTTCTTGGCGAATGTAGAGTTTTTATAGAGAACGTTATTGGAGAAACTGCATCAAGAAAGGTTATGGTAAGCATTAATCTTAAAATCAGTGTAGAGCTCATTATAGATTAGGCCCAGTAAGTCCTGACTCATCTGACTCGGGCTCCCAGATAGAGCTGGGCGATATGGCGATATATATCGTGAGGACGAGAGAAACATGTCTATCGTGACCTTTCTCCTCTATTTTTTCTATCGTGATAAACTTCTTTATTATTATTATTACTGCTAATATACATTTTAATATAATCTGTTAATATAACATTTTGCGTTTTTGCTATGCAAACTCTAAGTGTATATAACGAAAAAAAAAAGAGAATAAAAAGATAATGTGTAGAGAACGTGGTTTTGCGACACTACGCCACTTTACGTCACGCGGCTTTGCACCATACGTTTGCGACATTACTGATGGAGAGAGCCCGTGAAATTTCTTTCTGGCTTGAAAAAAAAATGAATGATGGACACCCAAGAAGATTTTACCGTTAAAGCGGAGCTGCCTGGCTTATATGCTAGTTGTCGGGCTGAAGTGGAGAGAGAGGTACGCAGTGGTGCGACGCATTATGCGTTGACTACGGACATGTGGATGAGTAGAGCAACACAGCCTTATATGAGTCTCACCATCCTTATCACGGACTGGACCCTCCGCGCTCGGTGTCTACAGACCGTGTACTTTCCTGAGGACCACACCGGAGTGATGCTTGCCCAAGGTATGAGCCTGACATTGCTATGCACTTTTGTACGTTCGCTAGTTTTACTATTATTGGTTTTACTAATATGCTTACACCAATGAACTGTGTGCTTTTACAGCATACGCATCCATTACTGGACCTCACTGATATTATAATTTATTCTGAAGGGGGGAAAAGTGAAGGCTACTGCACCTGTGAGTGTTGTGTTTACACACAAAGGTGCTGTAGCATTCACTTTTTCCCCTTTAGAGTAAATCATACTGTGTGTATTAGTGTGTACTGTTTGTTATAGTTTGTTGTATAGTACTGTTGTGTTCCATGTTTTTAAACTGTGCAGCACGTTTCTCTTGTGACTGCTGAAAAATAAAGAGAACAACTGAAACACCCATAATTGTGGTACAGGTCGTATGATGGATCACATTTTTAACCACACTGACACTCCTATCCAGTAGAACATGTGGGCATTTTAATTAATGTATTACCAGTGCAGACACATTTCTTCTTAAATAGGCGAGGCGCCTCCTAGTGGAAAACAAGGTAAGTGAAAGACAAGAGAAAAAACTGGCCTTGGAATTTTATAAAATGTCAATAACAAATGAATATTAAATGATTAATTACTGCAGCGCAATAGCCAAGATTCTATACTGTTCACTGTCATGGCCGCAAATTGCATAACTGGTGTTCTTGGTTTGGGGTTGGGATTCTCATATTAGGAAACAAGATGATGGGTAAAAAATAGGCGATGAAAGATTTTTTTCAACCCTGTCCATCTGACGGACTATGAAAACATAAAATGCAACATCAGTTGTGGTATATCGTGATATATATCGTTATCGTGATATAAAATAATCCATATCGTGATATAGTATTTTTTCCATATCGCCCAGCCCTACTCCCAGACATAAAACTCTACCCGACCCAGAGCAAAACCTGATGCAGATAAATAGTTTAAGGTATTACTGTTGCTAGACGTCTGACACCACTGCACTGACGGTACACTCAAGGAACACTAGAACCACCCTGCAGCAATGCTGGCCATATGGACTGACTGCGTCTAGTAAGGGTAATCCCTTAAATTAAGTTTATGTCGCATGTTATTCTCTTTACAGCAAGCTCTGGCCCAGTGAACATGTCGTTCAGGTCAAAAGCTGAGTTCAGTAGAGCATACTCAACCTGTCCCCGCTCCTGCAGCTACAGGATGGGCTTATGTCTAATAACCTGCTGTACCTGCTTTCTGTCTTCATGGAACAGTAGGAAAAAAAAAATAAAGTGCTTTATTTTGTATCCACTTCAACAAAATAGACTAAGCTATCTACTCATTTAGGGGACACATTAAGCAGGTGGAAGAAGGAGGTCTGATCGCTTTGGACTGTTTGATTTGCATGCAGAACATTGTGTTGTTCAAGATTAAGTACAAACAAACCATCTCTATGGTGATGGCAGCATCCTGCACAGGTCAATTTGTGGTTTTGATGGAGATGATTTGAAAAATGCATATGTACCGAAAGTAGTTAATGTCTTAATTTATCAGTCCAGCTGGAATTATTTGTTTGACTAACACATACGGTTGATCTCTTGTAACGGCAGTGCTGTTATCGAGCACACTAACCGGGTGATCTTCCTGGAGGATGACGACGTGGCTGCTGTAATGGAAGGACGGCTGTCCATCCACAGGATAAAGCGCCGGGCGGGAGACTACCCAGCCCGAGCCATCCAGACTCTGCAGATGGAGCTGCAGCAAATTATGAAGGGTAAGATGAGGGTCACTACATTTGTTTTCCTTTTTCCTTCTGAGGCTTTCTCTTTTTTTTTTTTTTTTCCACTCGCTGACTACAAAAATTTCAGATAAATTATCTGTTCGCTTCAATATAATTTTACCCTTAAAGCCTCTTTGTAAAATGAAGTGGCTGACTGGTGATCAGCTGCCCTAACAGTCCATCGCAAAGGTTAAACTTGATCATCTCAGTCAGGGATGTCTAAATGAATCAAAAAATGAATGCTGATTCTTTGTGGACTGCGAGTCTGTTGAATAAAGTAATCAATCAATCAATCATAAACTCTTTGTTATTGTTTTAAAAACAGGTTTAAAAGTAAATTTCCATTGATGAAATTATGGAATGTTAAAACCTTATCAAGGCTGCACTTTAAAAATTGAAATAGTTTAGAGAGCTCTACTTAAAGAAATGTCTTTTTGTTTACACTTGTGTATATAAAATGACAAAAAAAAAAATCTGTCTAAGTCTTACTGCTGAAAAAAAAAAAACATTTTCTAGACCCAACGTAAAAGAATACAAGGGAAAAGGTTAAAAACAAAAACACTACAACTGACCCTAACTGTTTATCCAATTGTAATAATATTTTTTCTACTTTGTTTTCATTAAAATACTTCAAATTTTACATACTGCTAAGGAATAAATGATTAAAAGAATTTACAGTAAGATTAATAAGCTAAACAATATCTAATTACAACTTGGTAATTTTTGAATATCTGTGCAAACACTTCTGCATTAGTTACATTAACCAGAAAAGATTTTTTTTCATATAGGTTTTCTCCCCTTCGCTATCCTCTGTTTCAGAATTGAATCTGTCCACTGTATACCCTAACTTCATCCTGTTATTGGCCTTTTTATTTCTTTATCACCTTGTTTGCAAATAACTGCTATAAACAAACCAATCATCTCAAAATAATTTATGCTTCTGCTGCTGTGTGCATTTTACCTGTAAAAATATATTAAAGTACTAATATGTCTCATAGATATAACTGTGTCTGATTCCTAACAGTTCAATGTGCTGCATTACATTCTCATTTTGATTTTTAAATTAAATCACCATAGCAATACAGTTAAAGAAATTACCATTCAGTTCTGTTCTTTACTACATTTGTTTTGTTCTTGTGATAATGTAATTACAGAAGGTTCTTACTCTTCCAATATAGTCCAGCAGAGGGCAGTAGGGAGCTGATGTTGGCTCAACTTCACATTCCTTTATGGTCCTGTCATTACTCAGCCTCTCTCTCCTCCTGTGTCTCTTTTCTTGGAGGTTTTCTGCTGAATAACCTAATTTGCGAGACCCAAACTGCTGTTGAAGACGGAGCGGGGGAAAAAACAACATAATTTCTGACTGTCACAGTTTATTCTTGAGGCTAAAACATCTTTATACCTTTGTATTAAATAGAGATTTTTCTTAGAATTGAGGGATTGCTTATAAATCAGAAAGAAAATATAGATTAGCAGAAAGAAGTACCTTCTTTTAAGTGCAGATAATCTAAACTATCAGTGAAAGACTTTAAAAATATGTTTTGTTTTTTGGATGTACGAATCAAGAATGTCAACAACATGCGTGTGATCATGCTGATACATCCTGTGTTCTAGTTTAGTGTGTTTTGTTTCTGGTGCAGTTAGCTCTCCTGTATTCTGATCCTCCCCCCATAGGTAACTACAGCTCCTTCATGCAGAAGGAGATCTTTGAGCAGCCAGAGTCTGTGGTGAACACCATGAGAGGAAGAGTCAACTTTGACAACAACACAGGTCTGAGAGTTGCTTAAAGTCATCTGTTGGGTGCACTGGGAATGCATTTTATTTTACATCATTTAACTTTTACTGATCAAGGTTTAATAAAAGAAAAAATTAATCATTTAAACCCTATTCATCTATTTCCCGTTTTTTGTCATTAGCCAATGACAAAGTGTTTATTGACAAACACAAATTACATTATAGCAGCACCCATTTAAATTCAGCCATCCTTGGTTTATACTTTTCAGACTGCCAGGCAGGAATTAATACAGCTGTTGCATAAATTAATGAACACTGAACATGTTTTAAGTTCACATCCGAGATTCTTCTGATCTCTTTTCTTATTTGGTTTAAATAGTGATTGGAATATGATGACTGAAGAGCTGTTTGGTTTGCCTTGTAGTAACACTGGGTGGACTAAAGGATCACATCAAGGAAATCCAAAGATGTCGGAGACTTATCCTTATTGCCTGTGGCACCAGCTACCACGCTGGAGTAGCAGTAAGTAGTATTAAACATGTCATAGTTTCCTTTTTTGGTCACCAATGACGTTGAATAACACCGACTTGTCCTTTTTCTGTTTTTTGTTTTTTTAGACCCGCCAGGTTCTGGAGGAGCTTACTGAGCTCCCTGTCATGGTAGAGCTGGCCAGCGACTTCTTGGACAGGAACACTCCAGTCTTCCGAGACGACGTCTGCTTTTTTATTAGCCAATCAGGTGGGAATCTGTGGACTATCTGAACTGGGTTTACTTCATATTTCCCATCTCTTGTCCACTTAAGTTGTAGAGGAACTATCCTGACTTCTTTTTAAAGAGTCTGTGATATATCTTTTGGGGATCGTGGTTTTTCTTCTGAAGCTTTCTAAAACCAGGTTGCTTCTTCTAGCAGAGGTATTTTATGATTATTTCTGCCAACCCTTCAGGGGAGACTGCTGACAGCCTCATGGCTCTGCGCTACTGTAAGGAAAGAGGCGCTCTGACTGTTGGCATAACCAACACAGTGGGCAGCACTATCTCCAGGGAGACGGACTGTGGAGTCCACATCAATGCTGGACCAGAGATCGGAGTAGCCAGCACCAAGGTAAAGCAACACAATCACTTCGCCCCGTTAAGTTGTGACTTCCCTGTATTTGTGGACCTTCCTTAATGTTTTTAACAAGTTAAAACTAGGAGATTGTTACTACATGAACATACATGCATACATTACTATCCTCAATCGTTGAAGAAAGATCAAATAAAAATTCTTAAACATGTTAAACTATTAATGTCGAGGCTTCAGTTCTACACCTCAAAAATGTAGAAAAACGCAACTTTTAACTTGATTACCTCTATTTAAAAAAAAATATATGAGACCCCTGCTTTAGTCTATTTTTATTGGTCACTCTTCAAAGTGGAATGGGATAGAGTAGACAAAATAATATGATATCAAATTAAATATTGATAAAAGCAAAAATGCTTCTCTCATATGACCTTCTGCGTTCCTATATTCAGTACAATACTTGGATGTTTAAAACGACAGAAACTATGATGGAAAAACAAAGAAACAAGTGTATCCTGCCATCAGGCACAGCATGGAGGGATAGGGCTGGGTAAAAAAAAGTCGATTTAATCGATTTTGAATCGATTCCTTTACATTTTTGCAAAATCGATTTCTAGGGAATGAGATCGATTAGTTTTATAGTGACGCGGGTGACGTTCGCATTCAAATGAGCAGGAAAGATGCAATCAAGATTTCTTCAAGCCAGACAGCTGCAAATTTAGCCAATAGGTTAATTGAAGACATTAAAAAATGTCTTTTACCACCATGACTATCATCTGTGGAGTTTGAGTTGAACTATTGCAGCAATCGTCCTTCCATGGCCACTTAAAGCAATCATTATTCGCAATTACAAAACTCCCATCACCAAACGGTTCCCATATTTTCATATTCTCACCCTCTAATCAAAAAAAGAGGACAGAATAAAATAGGTCAACCTTTACTGTCCCACAGGTGTCAAAAACAAGTAGACAGAATTCAGAAAGAAATCTCTATTATCATCAGCGTTGGTATTTTTGTATCTCCTCCTTCTTACTTTTACAACCAGAAGGATTTTCCAGCTTGGATGGAGAGCAGAGCGAAAAGCTTGGCGAAGTTTGGGTGCAGAGAGAAAGAGAAGCAGGTCCTTTCCTGGTCCAGACTTTGGGCTTGGCTCAGTGACTCTTCTGCTGCTCCAAGGCCCTGAGAGCACGCCTTAGAGACGCCATCATTTATGGCCCTGTTTGTTGAGCCACAGACCCACCTTCAGCAAACACAGAACATTTACAGCCCATTGGATCATTAAAGAACCCAACCTTTTCCTTTTTTTCATGCTTTTTCTGTTGAGGATCCATGGAAAAACGAGATGAGACTAAAATCTTTGATAGAAATCTTTTTGGCTGATCTGATCGAAATAACTTGGAAGATGTCAGCTTTATAAATTACATAACAGCATTTATTGGGATCTTGGACCGTTGCAAAGTTTTCCTTCAAAGTTACAGTAACAGAGGTTTCTGCTCATCATATCTGAAGGGAGCAGATGCTGCTCAGTGCCTTAAAAACCACTTAAATATTGGTGATGCGTACAAGTATGTAAATGATGATCTCACCTTTAAGGCAGAACAAATAGAGTTGTTGCATCACAGCAGACGGCAAGAACTAGGAGGGGTTTGTTGTGAACTTTACATAAAAAGTCAGCATATAGGTTTAATGGTTATTTCCTTAGCCCTAAATACTGGCATTCATGAATCTCCAAAATGGGCATGGAAGGTGTCCAAACACGTTGCAGGAGTGGGTGGTATTGATAACGGATGCATGTGCGGTTTGAGTCGTGCTGTTTCCTGAATGATCAGAGACGTGTTTTTAAATGTAATGTTTAGAACTCATCAGCTTTTCCAGGATGAGCCGTTTGGTGCGTGATCCTGCTCCTCCCCATCTGGGATGCATTAGTAGCAATGTTATTAAAGGGAGACGTAGAGCTTCAGATACCTTAAGAAATGATGAGTACTTGGATATCTGGTAACAATTAGCAGTATTTTATCTTCCTGTTGTTTTCTTTAATTGTTATAAATGCCGTAAAAGTATTTAGATATTTTGGGCGGTTATATATTATATTTTTCCTTTCGGCTGTGCAGGCCTACACCAGCCAGTTTGTGGCTCTGATCATGTTTGCGCTGCTGATGTGCGATGACAGAATCTCCATGCAACCCAGACGGCGTGAAATAATCCAAGGCCTGAGAATTCTCCCAGGTAAGTCCAGACAAATATGTTCCATGGTATAGCCTAGACCCGAGGGAGGATAAAATGCAGAACATTAAAAAGAAAACCACACACTGAGCAAGAATAATTATATTTCATAGCCTCTTAATAATGTAAACAAGTCAATTGGATGGGAAAATGGAGTTAAGAGCGAAGCATGGACTAAAAAGCTCAATCCAAGCCCATGTTTATCTGGTGTCTTGCAAAAGTCTTCTTGCTCTTGAACTTTTCCAAATTTGTCTTAGATCCACAAACTTTTTAGCATTTAACTTTGATTTTGTTTGAAAGACCAACACAAAGTAGGCCCTGATTGTGAAGCTTTTGGTAAACATTAATTTTTTTACTACTAAAATAAAAGAGTTTGATGCACATTCTCATTCAATCCATGCTGGGAGACTTAGTGCATGGAATTTTATTAATCTGCTGACATTTATTAAACTCTATCTATAATGCATACACTGATATTACGATGTATATTTTGCAGCCTGAAAACCATTACATTCTATTTACACACTAGTTTATGTTGGTCTATTGCATAAAAATACACTACAGTTTAAAATGTATTAATTAAGCATTCTACTCAAACATAGATTTCATATTTTCTCTCTAATTGGCAAAAGAGAAGAAAAACTCATCAGATTTTCTTTTTGAATTTTTCGGTTAGATCTGATTAAGGAGGTCCTCAGTTTAGATGATGAGATCCAGAAGTTGGCGACTGAGCTGTACCAGCAGAAGAGCGTGCTGATCATGGGCAGAGGCTACCATTATGCAACATGCTTGGAAGGAGCGCTGGTAAGCAAATCCAGACTCATTGTTTTTTACAAGTTTAATCAGATCGTTGTTTTTTTTCTTCCTCTCCCCATGCGAGCCTTTGATTACTGCTTTAAACGGCTGTAACAGATGTGATTTGAGAAGGTTTACAAATAAATCTGGTATCTGGGGAACTGTGTTAAGTTTAATGTTTGTTTATCATGTGAAAACAATTCTATTAGAAATACTTGTCTCATTATATCAGACTCTATCAGACTAAACTCTGTCAGACTTTAGAGATCTTGGGAAATGGGTATTTCTACAGTGAAATCTAGATCTGTTAGTCTCTGTTACTAGTCAGGGGTTATATCTTGGTTTAATCTGTGTCTGGTTTTTTTTTTCTTTCTTTTTTTCTCCTCTGCAGAAAATCAAGGAAATCACTTACATGCACTCAGAGGGTATCCTGGCTGGAGAGCTGAAGCATGGTCCACTGGCTCTGGTGGATAAACTGATGCCTGTTATCATGATCATCATGAGAGACCACACCTACACCAAATGCCAGAATGCTCTGCAGCAAGTCGTTGCACGTCAAGTAAGGGTTACACGAGCCAAATGCTAGAAATGGTGGAAAATTTTGGGGGGGGGGGGGGGGGGGGGGAATATGTATGTATGAATATATTATTCTGCAAAGCAAGGTGATCTTGATTCTCAAAAAGCACAAAGATTTGAAAACATTCCTTTCTTTTCACACCTTTAAGGGTTCACAAATTTTGTACAGCTTGCAACTGTGATATTAATGCTGAACATTGTGATGACAGTGATGTGTACTTCTAGTCCATATTTTCCTGACTCTTTATCACAATGTAGCATCTCTTCCTGTAAAATCTGGATAGCTGAAATATATACCATTAAGGTTCCCTACAGGGCATTAAAAGACTTTCAGCTTCTATATGTTTAAATGCCAAATTAACATGCACAGCATTTAAAGCATAATATTTCATGAAATATTTCATCCAAGCAGTTTTTTGGTTGCAGTATTGCATGCATTAATGGTTGTGATTTGATTTAATACATTTCAACTTTCCTGACCATTTAGGTTTAAAATTCTCTTTGAGCCCCACCTCTAATTTTCCCCTCAGCCAATACATGGAAGGCCCTATTGTATGATGACATAATGTCCCTCAGTAATGTGGAGCACATGTCTCTTTGAAAGAAAGTTTCAGCAATTTGAGCAGGAAAGTCTTTTTGAAGCTTATATGAATCATATTTGGATAATCTTTCAACCTGTATTGATTTCCAGGGTCGCCCTATTATGATCTGCAACAAAGACGACCACGAAACCATCAAAAACTCTTGCCGCACCATCAAAGTGCCTCACGGGGTGGACTGCCTGCAGGGTATTCTGAGCGTTATCCCTCTGCAGCTGCTGTCCTTCCACCTGGCTGTCCTCCGAGGATACGACGTACGTTCTGACCCTAAAACGCCCCTTTCTTGAAAACAACTATGCAAACTGATCCTATAGCTTCCCATGTGTTGTTATCTTGGCTAATGATTTTAGTTATTGCCAGAAAAAGGATTGTGCAACACACTCCGAAGGAATGTTTTTGTATATTTGCAGTGGTTTCTCTAAACCAATTTTATAGGCAAACTGTTGGGAGCCACCAGGAATAAACATAGTGTGTTTATGCACCGATTAAGAATGTTCCCAACTGATTCTAAAACAATGATGCAAGTTTTTTTTCATTGTTAGGGTAGAAACTTGCAAGCTTGGATTTTTCGGGGAAGGCATTTATTAAATTCAGAGTAAATAAGTGGGTCATGTAATCCTACTCGGCACTGATGCAACTTTTAAAGCATCAAAGAGACTTTTATTATTTTATTGTATGTGATAGACTGACAGTAGGTAGTGCATACTTGTTTAGAGGAAGGAAAATGATAGCTATAATTAGTATAAGTTTAGTTAAAAGATTGATGAACACAGCGGACGGGTCAGAGAGTACACTGTGGAGACATTAAGTGCAGCGTTATGTTATGAAACTGAATCCCGAGCTTTGAACATCTCACAAAGTTATGTTTAATCTGTTGTTAAGTAAACTGCAGGATATTGACACATCTGCAAAACCCAAAAGTCCTGCTGAGGGAATATTTTTCTTCAGGAGGAACATGGAAGCCGCTAAGAGTTCATGGGAAGAGAGATGGAGCTAAATGAAAAACAAAACCTTAGGAATAAAAGTGTTAGCAATAAAGAGCTGCTAACAGGTTTACCCTCTAGACAAAAACATTCAGATCTACAATATAAATCAAAGTCCAGACATTTTTGAAGACAGGCTTAATTTTTGGTTTCTACTGTTTAAAGTTGATCCCAGACCCCCAAAAGCCAATGGTTCCCACAAAGTTTCCACCCAGAGGGGCTGAATACAAATGTTTTGGATTTTATTTGTAAAACTAAAAGCCACCGTATGGTTTTCCTTAAGCTTCAGTTATAGGCCAGCTTTCTAAACAAACCACAATGAAATAAAATCAAGTTTTTATTTTTTATTTTTTTGTTGGATTTTGTTAAATTGCATTTTTTTGTTTGCCAGCAGCTTCTAACCATGAGTAGACATCTTCTTTATCATTCTTATCAACAACCTGAGCTAAAAGCTGTGTGAATAACTATTAGATATCTTCTGTTTTATTGTTACCATTACATGTGCATCAGTTTAATTAACATTTTCCATGTTTACATACAGGTGGACTGTCCAAGAAACCTGGCCAAGTCTGTGACTGTAGAGTAAACGTCCCCATCCTTCACACTAACACCAAGGGGAGGATCTATATGAAGAAGAGAAAACTGAATCTTGTTTGGGTGTCCTATATTGTCACTGTTTTTCATGTAATATTTTAGGCAAGCCTTGTGAGTTTTAACGTCACATCTTATTCCTATATCACTGTTTTTGAATCCTTAGAAACTGCTGTCATGGTCAGATTAATGAAGATTGGTCTGGGCTGGTATCTTTCTCTCATTTTGTTGTTTGTAATGATTTTAGATGGCAGTCAACAGTGATCATACGGTTCGTTTTATTTAGTGAGCTCACCTGATTAGTTACTGATTGGTCTCTGTGGGAGCTGATCTATCTGCTGAGACTTTAGAGACCTTCCTGGCTTATTTTCTCTTTCAGTGCAATGATTTTTTAGGTTAGTTGGGATAACTTTCCTTGGCAGCTAGTGATTTAAAGCGTTTTACTCCATGGTGGAAGTAAACCACGGACTTGAATCATTCCAAGCCATAGGTCATCGCTTCTTCATAATTGCAGCTAAGTTTTGCGACTCTTCCCCATCTTGGATTTTATTTCTTCCTCTGAGGACATGGAAGTAGCATCGCATATCAGATTGTAGAAAAATCCTTGTTTGCTACTTGTATATGTTACAGATCCTCATTCTGTAATAGTGCGGGTACAATCGTAGTTGGTTTCTGTTGCCTTACAGGGATCTTGTTACTTGTTTTTGTTTTTAACTAGAACTACTTTAATCTGATGTGAATAAATGACTCTGATCTGAAGTTGAAGCCCTCCTTCTGCTGCCATGACAGTTGCCATTACATTCTGGGACCATTTACTTGTCTATCTTAGTTTTTTATGTTTTAAGTGATTTTTGTTTCATTCTTATGGTCTTTTTCTTTTTTTTAAGAATTGAATGTTAATATTTTAAAATGTCATACCAAAAATCTGCAACTGCTTTGACGACTACAAACCAAAATATGTCTATTTTGTGTTCATACTTTGTTTTTATAGCAGAGCTGCTTTGCTGGCCTGTAATGAGGACAGTTTACTCTCATGACGTTGTGTTTACTGATGTAGAAAGCCGGAGGCGACTTGAGTGTCTGTGATCCTATTTCCCTCAAATACCAGGGAAAGAACGACTTGCACCCAATTCAAAAGAGCAATGAAGTAGAACTGCAAATTTTAGGATTCGAAGATATTTATCACCTTTCAAGTTGAACCTTAACAGGTCCTGAAGCATATAAAAGGGTACTGAGAATTAGATATTGTTATAGATAATTTTAAAACCCCTTCTTATCTTATTTTTTTCCATTTTATCAACTAGATAAACTGACCAGTGGGACGCTGTTGGAGTTGATACAATAAAGTGTCTGAATTTATTTGGTTTAAAGAGGTCTTCCAGTGGTGTATTTTTTTATTTTGTTAAATATAATGGTGGTGGGGGGTATTGCTTTTAGTTGAAGAGATTCACAAAATACAAGAAAAGATATTCTGACCTTGAAACCACTTTCAGTTTGTGTTTTTGGGTTGAGGACTGTTCAACCATTTACTTCAGCCAGAGTTTGAAGTAAATGGTGAAAATGATTTTGAGAACTTAGTGATATAATTTGTGTTCTTGCTTAAAATCAATGCTTGTACTTTTTTTAAACAATAGTGTGAACTAGAGCTATTTTAGCTAACCTCTTTTTATTGACCCCTAAGATTTTTTTTTTTTACTTCCTCCCTCTGGTGGTGGTATAAAGTCTGAGAAGCATCCATTATACCCTAAAGATCCCCTCTCTCTTTGCTAAATAAACTTAGTATAGTAATTTAGGTTTTTAAAATGCCTATAATATAAAAAAAATTCTAGTACTTTCCCTTTTCCCGGGGTCCAACTGCTTCCATGAGTTTTCTAATTTCTATAAAGTGTCGTTTCAAACATTGTGTTGCCTCTGAACTGGACACTATGACAAGAGGAGAAATTTTAATTTAGAAATGCAAAAAGCTTGTTTCCTAAAGAACTCTTGCACCTAACCATAAAAGATTTAGCACTTTAAAAATGGCACATGGTTGGCTGAAGTGCTAAAAGTCAGGTGAAACACCAAAATAAAAGCTCAAATCCATCAAAATGGGTTAAAAAAAAAAAAAAAAAAAACATTTTTTAGGAGTGTAGATTGTATCTTTATTTACAACAAACTAGCAAAAACGTAGAAGTACAATAAATGAACAACTCATTTTTAAATGAAAAGATTGACCATTTTTAATAGAAAAGTTTGGCTTGTAGCTTTGAGACACCGATCTAAAATTTCTAAATTTAATTATTACAATTAAAAAAACAATTGCAATACAGCTAAATATTTACATTAAGAGTTAAAAGTCTTTTTTTTTCCTATTTGTGCATTATATACATAATTGAGGTACATGATCAATTGCACATCTTAAATGGACCACAGATTGTGGCTACCAAGGATTTGACATATTGTCCCCAGTGGTCTTATAAAGGCCCAAGAAGCTGAAATGGTAGATATGAAGGGCCCGAGGCGTCTGCATACAGCTGAGGGGACCAACAATACCATGTGGATGAGGGCGAGCATGGTCAGAGAAATGCACAGTGAATGCCTGCAGATCACAGGCAGGACACGCAGCAGCACATGGAGTGATCTGACCCACTGCACAGCCCTCCTTCCTTCACCGCACACCAGAGAGAGGCTGCTGCTCCAGACGGTGTCCGAGGGAAGCCATGTGGAAGGTCTCGAACAGCCACATCGTTCCAAGTCTTTTGGTGGTAAAAGCTCACCGATCAGTGCCAGCCTGAGGAATGCATTCAGCTTCAGCATGACTTTAAGCTGAAAAGCCAAGCTGTTGGTGAGAATGAGGGCAGATTTCAGAAGGAGTTCACTGCATATGCTCATTATTATCATGGCTTCACACACAGCTTCAGAATAATTGTAGAAATCAGCCAAGACTTTTAGCAAAAACAGTCTCAATCCTCCAATCATGTGTAGTTTTTCATTTAAAAAGCCCATTGTCTGAACCATCATACAATAGGCAAGCCCTTTACCAACCAGTGCAAACCAAAGCAGCACAACAGCTTCAATCAAGGTGCTTAGAATTATCTGAGTAAATCAAACCAGGTGGTCTTAACAAGCTCAACTCATTAAAGCTGCAGTTGCATCTCAGTGAATTATGGCAAAATTAAAAATTTTACTTATTACAGCAATTTTATACAAAAAGTAAAACTCATTGCATTTATTTGTTGCACATCTAAAGTCATTAAAGAATTAAAGAAATCTCTGTTTTATGTCAGATAAAAGTAAACAGAATCTCAATCTACTGTGAAACATTTTAAAATCTACACAGCCTGGAAACGTATTCAAGCCTAATTTCACACGAATAACTGCAGCAAAGAAGTGTGGCATGGAGTTTATCTGCATGTACAGGTGCTGGTCATAAAATTAGAATATCATGAAAAAGTAGATTGATTTCAGTAATTCCATTTAAAAAGTGAAACTTGTATATTATATTCATACATTACATACAAACTCATATATTTCAGATGTTTATTTTGTTTAATTTTGATGATTACAAATGACAACAAATGAAAATCTCAAATTCATCATATCAGAAAATTAGAATATTACTGAAGACCAATAAAAACAAAGGATTTATAGAAATGTTGGCCAACTGAAAAGTATGAACATGAAAAGTATGAGCATGTACAGCACTCAGTATTTAGTTGGGCCTCCTTTGGCCTGTATTACTGCAGCAATGCGGCGTGGCATGGAGTCGATCAGTCTGTGGCACTGCTCAGGTGTTATGATAGCCCAGGTTGCTCTAATAGTGGCTTTTAGCTCTTCTGAATTGTTGGGTCTGGTGTATTGCATCTTCTTCTTCACAATACCCCATAGATTTTCTATGGGGTTAAGGTCAGGAGAGTTTGCTGGCCAATTAAGAACAGGGATACCATGGTCCTTCAACCAGGTACTGGTAGCTTTGGCACTGTGTGCAGGTGCCAAGTCCTGTTGGAAAATGAAATCTGCAAGTTGGTCAGCTGCAGGAAGCATGAAGTGCTCTAAAACTTCCTGGTATGTGGCTGCGTTGACCCTGGACCTCAAAAAACACAATGGACCAACACCAGCAGATGACATGGCACCCCAAACCATCACTGACTGTGGAAACTTTACACTGGACTTCAAGCAACGTGGATGAAGTGTCTCTCTTCTTTTCCTCCAGACTCTGGGACCTTGATTTCCAAAGGAAATGCAAAATTTACTTTCATCAGAGAACATGACTTTGGACCACTCACCAGCAGTCCAGTCCTGTTTCTCTTTAAACGCTTCTGACGCTGTCTGTGGTTCAAGAGTGGCTTGACACAAGGAATGCGACAGCAGAAACCCATGTCTTTCATACGTCTGTGTGTGGTGGTTCTTGAAGCACTCACTCCAGCTGCAGTCCACTCTTTGTGAATCTCCCCCACATTTTTGAAGGGGTTTTGTTTCACAATCCTCTCCAGGGTGCGGTTATCTCTCTTGCTTGTACACTTTTTTCGACCACATCTTTTCCTTCCCTTCGCCTCTCTATTAATGTGCTTGGACACTGAGCTCTGTGAACAGCCAGCCTCTTTAGCGATGACCTTTTGTGTCTTGCCCTCCTTGTGCAAGGTGTCGATGGTCGTCTTTTGGACAACTGTCAAGTCAGCAGTCTTCCCCATGATTGTGTAGCCTATAGAACTAGACTGAAAGACCATTTAAAGGCTTTTGCAGGTGGTTTGAGTTAATTAGCTGATTAGAGTGTGGCACCAGGGGCCATCAATTTTGAACCTTTTCACAATATTCTAATTTTCTGATATGATGAATTTGAGATTTTCATTTGTTGTCATTTGTAATCATCAAAATTAAACAAAATAAACATCTGAAATATATGAGTTTGTATGTAATGTATGAATATAATATACAAGTTTCACTTTTTAAATGGAATTACTGAAATCAATCTACTTTTTCATGATATTCTAATTTTATGACCAGCCCCTGTAACTGCAGAGATGTTGCTTTAACAGACTGCTTTACCAAAGGCATTGTTGTGTCTGGTGTCTCTCATTCTTCCCTAGGGGGAGGGGCGTGTTTTTCAGGAGTCAAAAAACACAGTAGTTCCAGTCAGGCTCACACTGGGAACAATTTTCAGCCCTGGCATTTTTCCATCTGCACCAGCCCTCTTAAAAAAAAAAAAAAAAAAAAAAAACCAGAAGCACAGTCAAACGTGTGCATCTCAAATGTAAAACACAATACAAATACACATTGTGTATTAACCAATCTATCTTCAAGCATCACATGACAACCATCACCAAGATTTCCACGGTCATCCTAAACTGCCAGATTGGGAAACACCCCAACCTGGCAACATTGCACGGAAGATGAAAAAAGTTACCCTTTAGATGCAAAACCCCGTCATGCACCGCAACATATTTTTGCAAAATATTCTAACATAAATTCACCAAATATAAGAGGAGCATCGTTGTTTGGTATTAAAGAAAGCATTTTAGTTTTATTATAATTTAGTTTGTTGCAATGATTTTACAGTTTGAAGAAATAGAGAATTACATCATATGCCAACTGTCACAATGATGTGCATGACAAGGAAGGGCTATATGTACTGCATGCATCATTTAGGTAGTTCACATTGTATTATTTCTTGAGCTCCTTGAGTTATTTACTGTCACAGGTAGGTGCTTTGGCCGGAGAGTAAGTGTTAGGGCCCAGTATGATTTAAACAGGGCTGGCCCTCAATTGCTGAAATTAGGACGAGTCCACCATTACAGATAACCAGTCTGAGCCTGTTCCACTGAAATCCAGGAAATCTGCAGCATAATTCTACGCTCCCAGACTTAGTGGGAACAGTTGGATGATGGCCTCTTCCTGTTTCAACAGAACACGGTTCATAAAGATAAAGACATGGATGAGAGAGTTTGGAGTGAATGAATTGGACTGACCTGCATAGAGTCCTGATCTCAACCCCACAGAATAGAGATGGATTAAAGCAGAAACCAGAACCTCTCTTTCAACATCAGTCTATAGCCTCACAAATATGCTTCTGAAAGAAGGGTTAAAAAAATTCCCATAAAAACATCCCTAAACCTTGTGAACAGCTCACAAGGTTTCTGGGTTGTTACTGCAGCAAAGGGTGGAGCAATGTCACTTAAGTTCATGTGCGAGTCAAGGCAGTCAATACTGTCAGTAAGGTTGTAATTAGTTTGTCTGACATTTGAAAACCACATAAAATTGGTCATTGTGAGAGCTTGGTCACACATTATCGACTTTAAACCCCAAAAGACGAGAAAGCTGTGAGGTTATAACTTTTTATTCCTCTTAAATGTCTTCAAATCTTGGCATGGACAATCAGAGCCAACGTCCTTTTCTGCAGCTTGTCCACATTTCCTGAGGATTAGATGGAGTCTAATATTTTCCAGGGTAGATCACTCTATTCCTGCATGTGAAATTAATGCAATATATTGACATCTGGAATTAGTTAGCCATGCCCTGCATATGCTTTACACTTTTTTTCTATCACAGGGAGGTGTTTGTAGTCCTCCTTGCTGTTAGATCCCAGAGGCAATACAGTATCAGCTCTCTGTTGCTGTTGCTAAAAAAAAAAGGACATAGAACAGTTTTACATTCAATGTGTGCACTTAAAGGTCTAATTCTAAAAAAAATTGCAACATAAAAAGGTACCGGTATGTAGAAATTTCCTAAAACAAGAAACAGTGGATAAAAAGGGGCTCAAGAGGCATATGGTACACTTAAACCTGCTAAGGCTTCAACAAAAAAAACAAAAAACATACCTGCAGAGGAGATTTTATGTTAAAAGTCATCATGTGATCTAGTGTCTTAATGATAATGAAAAGAAACATTGTAAAAAAAACATCCTTAAAACCATAAATCAGAATAAGAACAGTATAGAACACCAAGTTGATTTGTGTGTCATATAAGCATGTTTAGCTGATAAATGCCTTGCAGTGTATCTATGTCACTCTAGCTTTTTTCATAGTATGTTAAATTGCAAACATATACTGCAGTTTCCATATAGTTCATCTACCTTATTCTTACATGTTTTACAGGGTTTGCTGTCCCTGCTCCAGAAAAGCATGCTGCCTTATTTCTGTGTAGGGTCTTCAGGAGTGTTATGCTGTATTTTGCATGTAGGAAATATAGTTACACTTTCATCCATCCAGACACCCTCTTCTAGGTGTTGAATGTAAGCCTCTGCATGGCTTTTTAATTAAAACACATATTTGTAGAACATGCAACTGATAGCTGGATATCTACATCTCTTGCAAAGTAAACTACAAACCATTTGGCTGCTTTTCTGACTATCTCTCTATTTGCCCAATGTAAGATTCAGTTGGGCGCCATGTCTTGATAGGTTCGCAATACCTTTTAATTTTCAGATTTTAAACTGAGGAATGCTTCTTGACCTGCTTTAAGCTACAAATTTTTAACCTTCGTAACTTTATTCCTAACTTGTCTGCTGCGTTTTTTCCTCTTCAAGTTGTCGGTTGTCCAGTTATGTTCACTAATGGATCTCTCAGAATTGAGTAGATATAATACAAACAAAAAACACCATTTCAATATTTCTTTTTTTTAATTCTTCAAAACTAGTGTTTTTTTGTTGGTGTGTCACATTAAAATTTAGAAGCAATGCTCTTAAATGTCTGTCTACAATGTGAGTAAGTGAAAGATGGGTCAGTAACCATAGTTGGTGCAGTTTAAAAATGTCTCCTTTGCAGCTATATATAAATATATTGGGGGATTTTAAGATGTTAATGCAAAATAGTCTAAAGTTGCAGAGGTGGGTAGTTATTAGTTACATGTACTCAGTTACATTTACTTGAGTAACTTTTTTAAATGTACTTTTAGGAGTAGCATTACTAAACATTGCCTTTTACTTTTACAATAAAGTTTCACAAAGTTTTTAACATTTCGGGTTACTCCATCCATTGTGGGGATGTCACTTAATGAAAGCAAGCTTGCTTTAAACAAAATGCATCCTGGAGAGACACACTTTTGTATTTTATTTGTAGGCTAAGCTTATTGATTAAATGTTATTTTCCATCTGCTGAGTCTGTTGAGTTAATTGGAGGTTGAGTGAAAATACAGTATACTGTAATTGAATCTTTTATATATGTCACATGATCATATTTACCTTATTCTCTGAAAAAAACAGAATCGCTTAATATTTTCTTCAATATTACATAATTTTGTAGCTCAGTTACCCAGTACCTGAATAGCCTTTTTACTAAATACTTTTATAATAATACCAAATACGCCTGTGTACTTTCTTTAACGGTTCATTTATGCTGCTATTTGAGTAAAAACATGATGCAGTAGTGCTACTTTTACTTAAGTGCCACCTCTGTAAAGTTGTCAGGTAATTAACATTTCAAGTGGTGTTCTTAAAAGCCAGCAAGCAAAGCATCAAACTACACACTGCAGGTAGGGAGAGCATAACGTGTCACAAATGTGAGCTTAAAATAGAACAAATATCCTAAAGCAAAAGCTTTAGTGATGCATTAATGAACAAGAAATTAAACATATGCTAAGGTGCCAATTTTGCTGACCAGTTTGTTTTTTTTGGAGCAGCATCCAGGATGAAATCATTCCTCAGTCAGCCGCTCCTAAGCCACACTCTGCACATAAAAAACATGGCTTCATCATTTTGATATTTGGCACATTTGGATTAGAAAAACATCCGGAGAATGGATTGATCTGCTGATATGTTTGTATACAGAGCGAGTTCTCCCTTTTACCACAACAGCTGTTGACTGCAGCTTCCAAACCTTGATACTGAAGCAACATGGTAAATGCAAAAGAATCTGGTTGGGCATCCAGCCCAACCAGATAAAAAAAAAACAACACACAATAAAACCGATAAAAAAACGTATAAAAGGTAAAATCACACAGTTCACACAAGCCTTCTTTGCATGCAGTTGCTAACACAACAAAAAAAGTTCAAGATTATTCAGATTTCTGTAAATCTGCTGAAAGCCAAAACATTGGAAGCCTGAGTTTCATCCCGAATCAGATATTTTTCAGCAGACATTCATCTTGACACCATGACCGGTGCAGTTCAGCTTCTTATTGAGGGCTGAGGTACAGAGACTTTAGTCCGAGCTCATGAGGATTTAACCGAACGTACGAGCTGATGGGTTAGTGGATTCTGTAGCACCTCCGAGCATAAACTGCACAAATGTTCTGGAATTGATCTGCATGATCTCATTTGTATGGACTGTCTGTTGAGTGTAATTCAAGCATCTGAGTAATTGCACTGTTCTCCTAGATGTGTACAAAAGTCACTGTAGACAAATAGCTGGACAGTTCTCCTGGCTTCTCTGCACAAGGCAGAGGACACAAAAATGTCCCTGCTTCCAAACACAACATCTCTGCACGCTGACCACTGTTTTCCTTTAGTTTTGTGTCTCTCACATCTGCTGCCATTAAACTACAGGACGGGGCGGTGGACGGGCAGGTGGGGGGGCTCGCCCAGGAGGAGGAGGCAGAGGGCCCGCAGGAGGGGCACAGACTGGAGGGCCAGGTGGGGACGCTGGTGGAGCAGGTATGTACGTGGTGGTTGGAGGAAGAGCTCTGCTGGGAGGTGCTGTGTAAGGAGGAGGGGTGAGGGGTGGTGAGGGAGTCGGGGAAACAGGAGGAGGAGTTGAAGGAGGTGATGGAAGCGTGGAGTAGGAAAATGACTGAGGGCTGCCAGGAGTCGGGGGCAGGGAGCCCTGTGGTGGAGGAGGACTTCTGTTGGGTGGGTTGCAGATGGGTGAGGGCTGGTAGTTTAGGTGGGGGTAACGAGGAGGCGGCGATTTTGTACGAGTGAAGTTCATGCATCTTCCCTGGAAATTCAAAACAGAAAGGGCTTTATTTAAAAAAAATGCACTATTACAAAAAAGATGAAAACACACAATAAAATATATAATGATAAAAAACTTAGAACTGAATATATGAAGCATTTCTAGAGAAAATGTCACATAGAAAAGAAAAGCAATGTGTACTCAATGATGTACTGTGACACACAGCTTCCATCCTAGATTTACCAAATCAGCTTCTTTTTCATTTAATAATAACGCTATGTAAAGGTGAGGCTGGTTTGAAGGTTAAAAAAGCCTCGTTCATATAAACAGCAATGATGTTTTTGGATTAAAGCTGATTAAAACTACTATTAGTTCATTTTGGTCTTTGCTCCTTTCTGACTGGTTCTTAGCTTTAATCTTCTAGGTACAACTAATCTGGATTTCTATGGTACAAAAGCAACACAAGAATGAACAACTGCAGGTAAAATATTTTCATAAAACCTTCCCATTAAAAATTCTTACGTATCCCTTTTAGAGAGTTCAGTGTTTGATGGTCATTGTTGTTAAAAAATATATATATATAAGCTGAACTGCTTTACAGTAGCCCAATATCAGGCCACTGACATCAATATTGTAAAACATAAGATGCAATGCTGCTTTAATTAATTTCTATTGGAGACTGAATATGTAAAACTCTATATTTTTCCTGCTAAATTTGACGAAAGCAGACAATTTTCTGGTTCCAGTTTATACACACAATGTAACTTAAACATTTATTTGGAAGTAGATTATGGTGTCCCTCAGGGTTCTACACTGGGTCCAATTCTGTTCTCTGTTTACATGCTTTATTTTGACAATGCAAGGCCTTCCTTTCATTGTTACTCAAAGATGCAAAGCCATATCCATAATTGAATCTGAAATAATTTCGACCAGGAAATATAGTTTGCCTCAATATAAATCATTAAAACAGCGATATATCTTTAGGACAATTATATATATTTAATCATCTGTTTTTTATAAATCATTGTAAGTTTCATTCCCGTGATTGATGTGTTCTAATAGAAAAATTGAAATTTTACTGAAGTAAGCCATATGGGAATGGTAAAACACAATAAAGCCTTCTAAAATACACTAAGAATGCACCATAATCCCTAGACTTCATATGTTTGTATATATTAAGCCGTAACTGCAGTTTTTTTTTTGGCAGGCGGCAGGAAAAGGGACTAGTTTCCACCCTCCCACCGCTGAGCTCATTTTGGGCGAGTCATAAAGTTTAGGGGTTTGACAGGAGATTTCTAATTGCAATCAGAACCCGGTTCTTTAAGATGTTAGGAAATGCGATTTAGTCATTTTTCTTTAAAGCTTTTATAGGAAGGAAGTCTTACTTGTTCTTTTTAATTACAGAGCTGTTGGCACACTGTAAAAAGAAGGATTAGGAACACAACCCTCTGAACTTTGATTTCAAAGACGTTACACGTTGAATTTAAATATATATCACAGTTGGCCTTTGAATGTGCTTTAACCTTAATAAAAACATAGCAAAATTAGAAGATAGAAATAAGCGTTGTTGCATTTTGCTTTTCTGTGATAATTCAACAAAAGATACTTGGGGAAAATGTACATCTAAAATAAGAATCCATCATATCAGATTAAATCACGTCTTCATCAGCTGCTTTGGGTTTTTGCTTTAACATCAGGAGAACCTGCTAAACTGTAAATAGCTCTGAAGAGAGCTGTAGTAAGTGACGCAGAAGATCATGCAATAGTTTCAGTTGCAAGGAGATGAAGAAGGTGTTTGACATAGAAAAGTTCCTTTCATTGGTTGAATTTGCCATAATGAATGCAATTAAACTAAAGAGCAAGAGCGCAGCTTTTAAAGCAATTTCAGTCTGTTGTTGAATGTTTTAAACACACTGATTTGTGAAGAGACAAAATGCGCTTAATTTGGATTGAAACACAACTAACAACACTGCTGTAAGTTCCAGGAGAGGAAACTAAAAGATAACAGAAGGACAGTTCTACAAACACAATGTGACAGAGGAATAGTGGAAAGTCATTTAGAGATAGTAAGGCAGATTTCAAATTATCAACATTTCGGAAAAAGTAAAATAAAATATAAATTAGATCATGTTAAATGCGGTGATCATTTTCTATGAAAATCTGTAAACTGGGTTTTTCAAGTCACACCACAAATTAGCTCTGGATATTTACCTTGACATATTTGTATACGGTTTGATCTAAACCCTTCATTCTTTCTCTGGCTTTGTGCTTTGGGTCATTTCCCTACCGACATGTGAAACTAGCGTCTCAACTTCTCCACAGCTACTAGATGGTTATTTTCCAAGATCTCACTGTATGTAGCTCCTCAGTATCTATATTTCCATCAACAATGCTGGGCTTCTCTGTCTAATCAGAAAAACAAAGGTTCCCCGCGGCATGATGCTGCCACTACCTTGTTTCAGAGTGGACATGTGCTCAATTTTGGCTCTTGTACTCTGACAGTGATTTAAACTTCTCTATTATCTGTAGTGTTAAGCAGCCGATGCCATTTTTTTGGCCCCGATACCGATACCTGATAACTGGCTGTGCAGTATTGGCCGATACCAATACAATTTCGATACCATCTGTTTGAAATTGATGTGTGTGTGTGTGTATATATATATATATATATATATATATATATATATATATATATATATATATATATATATATATATATATATATATATATATATATGAAGAACTGCATACTGCTTGGATGTAAAATAATTGCCATCATGGCTTTGTCAAGCTGCTGCCTACCTTTGTGAAGTAGGAAAAAGACTAATACAAAGTGATTCCAGTAGAAGTTTTTATTGCCTACCTGGAATAGAAGACAATAGTTAATTTTAGGCTCTCAAAATGGTATTGGTGCCCTATTTGTTGGTACTCCCCGATACCACCATTTTAGTGCTGGATGGGGGTCCTGCTACTGGTATTGGTGCAAGACTAATTATCTGTCAGCGGAGTTCACTAGTCTTATTTATGCTGTTAGTTCATTAAAGCTCTTTGGGAAAAAACACTCTCAGGACTTGACAGAACAGCTGGATTTATATTGAGATTAGGATTAAAGTGGTAACTGTTTGCTAATTGCCTCCAGAACTTACTGATTAAGTTCTGGAGGCAGTTGTTTAAACTAAACTTTATTTAGAACCATGAAAGTAAAGAGGATTTAATAAAAAGGCATACCTATTTCTTGCATTTTTATTTGTAAAAATTGAGAAAGCTATAATCTCATTTCCACTTGCCAGTCATTGTTTCTTTGTTTTGGTGTACCACACAAAACCTTAATGAATAGTACTCCAATAGTTTGGGATTGCAATGTGACGGAATGTGTAAAAGTCCGCTAACAATTATAAAGTAAACCTTCTGTTTGTAAATTGCTTTTCCATAGTGGTTCAAACACACAATGACAAGTTATGAAAAACCTGCAAAACTTTCCCTAAAACATTCAGCTACTTTAACACAGTCAGAAATCACCTGTGTGCTCACATATTTCTATATGCACAGTCTTAGATGGAAAGTTTTCTGCCATTGAGCAGGACTTAGTGCACATTTCCAGCCTATTTGCCAGACAAAGAGAACCTGGTGGGTTTGAGTCCAGGTTTAAAAATACATCAAACAGAGCTCCTAGTTTCTTCGACTTGAAATGATCTCACCTCTAAGTCATGCTCACATGGATATTATTTAATCTAAAGTCAGCTGTATATTCTTCGTTAAACTGAACCATCCACACAGCTGTGTGCCATCCTGCACAGCTACACAGTAAAAACAATGGGAGCAGTTCAGGCCCAGACGGTGTGCAAAGGTCTGTGTGTTAGCAGCATGGTGTTGTGTATATGATATAGAAAGACGCTTGTATAAAATAAGGGATATTATGCAAACATGAGAAGTTAATTGATGCACATTGCAAATTTTTAAACTGTGATGCTGTATGTGTCCTCTCTGACTGTTAATGTGGAGCTTTTTTTGCAGAGTTTGCTGTTTGACGTTTGCAATGCGAAGCATTACATAAACTCTTGTGGTTAAGGATTATCACAAATAAAATTCCTTCAGACTTACTCTTTTTTTTTCCACAAAATTTGAGCTGCCAACTTTTGAAGTCATTGCACTATTACCCTCCCACTGCAGCTGGCCTTGGAGCCATTACTTTGGCCTCCTCATAATGACTTCACCAGACAGCTTTGCATTGCAAAGCTCTGTAGCCAAACGTTCTGCTCCCTCTCCACAAGTTTTCCCATGAGGCTTTCAGTTCACACTTCATTGCAGACAGCTGGTCGGCTTTATTTGTTTTCTTTTTTCAACTTATTTTTAAATGCAAGCGACTCATTAATTTGTAATTTTCTTTTTGTTAAAAGTACTGTCAAGGCGGTTTCAAAGGCAAAGCCTGCTATATGACCCTTGTTGGGGTTTTTTCTATGTGCTTACCTTGTCCCCTGGATGAGGTCTCATTATAGATACGCGGTCATAGCCTTTTTTCATAAGAACCCAAAGTGCATCCAGTTTGCTCTGCAAAGAAAAGGGATATCAAATCTTACTTTAGCAGAAAACCTTTAGACAAAAAAAAAAAAAACGACAGACAAACTGCTTTTTTCACATTTCGAAAAAATTCTTAAAGAATTTTCAAAGTGACAAACATATATTGTTCACATTTGCTGTGAAGTGCCTCTTCATATTGTTTTAAACAGTAAATATTTCAGGGATGTGTGCAGAAAACAGCTGTTTTTCCTCCTAAACTGCTGGCTCTGCAGTCTTTCTCCCAGGAGGTCAGTCCAAAATGAGTCTGGCTTCTATTAGCAATCCCCCGCTGACTGGAACGGCTTCAATCCATTAACCCCATACTGGCCTTCAAGGAAGGCGCCACAAGCCAGCAGTCACCAAACATCATTACCTTCACACATCTCTTAGCTTTTTCCTTTCAACATTAGGGTTATGTCATTACTTTGATATCCTCATCCTGGCTAGCATGTCCGCAGATAATGCACATTATTCTTCACACGTCTTCACAGTTGAGAAAAAAAGCCTTTATTCCTGAAGAGCTTTGAAACATGTCTGAGTGCATTAGCAAATTATAAATGTTTTTTTAAATAAACACACAACATACTTCAGAAAGTAGTTCAGAAATCATTTGTATGATGTGTATTCTAAGCAGCAGAGAGTTGTAGCTTTGGTTGAATTATCACAGTTACTTTATTTGTTTTGGGGGGGGGGGGGGGGGGGGGGGGGGGGTCTGCCCAGTAAATGCCTGTTGCTGTTGTGTTCCTGCTCTGGTACCTGAATGGGTGAGTACCACTTCCGAGGTGCTGCAGGTTTCTGCATGCCGTTGTTGAGAACCCGAGTGGTCGGAGGTTCATAATCCTGTTCGGGCATCTTCACTTTGGCATTTTTGGCTTTCTCCAGCTTTGCTCCTTCCTCTGTTGAGCCTTTTTCACCCCAGCGGACCTGGTAAAGGTCATCATTCATTTCATTAATCAGTTCCAATTATGACATATCTTATACCGCTGATGACTGAAATGATACGAACAGAGTTTTGGTGCTGTTGTTGTTTTCTGAAAGCATAGAGGTCATCGCTTAGATCTCCTTTTGAGCAGAATCCAATTTGCATGCGTCAAAGTTTAGCACCATCATACCTCCATCCTTTTGATCCCCCCCACTCCTCTTCCTCCATAGTAGGACGCATCTACTGTCGGCCATTTTTTCTTAGGGGTTTCAAAGTCCTCCTCATCCTATGAAAGGGCATCATAAAGAGATTTCAAACATGGATCTATACATTTTTTTCAGTGTTTGCCTTATAAGAAACTTTCCTCCAGGTACATACAGACATACAGATGCCCCACCACGTTTATTGCTATCCTTTGTAAAAAAAAAATCAAAAATCTTACAGTAATATTGCAGCATATTTAAACCAGTGAGCTGTGGATATTTTATTTTCACTACATCTGTTTCCATTCTTCTCAACTCCTGATGTCAGCTTTTTGCAGTAGACTGTAAGATGCCATTTACTTTTATCTTCTAATGGAGACACTGTTGCCTTAATTGAATTCAATGTTTATCCATCTATAACATCATGCCTTTTGGCTAACAGAAACATCTCTCTCAGCTATTTGATTTATTTATAGAACAGGGAAAGGGAGAGCTATGAATACTTAGCAAAGTTTCACCAAAACTCACATTAACTTCAACATGGAAAGTTAAAATCTATGACCCATAATGTTTTTTTTTTTTTGTTTTTTGTTTTTGCTTGTTTGTTTTTTGTTTGTGTGTTTGTTTGTTTTGGAGCACTATGGATTTTGTAAAAGACAAATATTTCACCTGTGGCACTATTTTCCTTCTTCATAATTTCATAAAATTACGGGATGGATATTTACTAGCTGGTCAGCTTTAATAGTTTTTAGACATCTTTATGTAAAAGCAATGATTCTGAATATTTAGCTTATGTAAATATACTAACATCCACTTTATAAACATCTTTTTTTATTCAACATGTGAGATGAAGTCAAAGTAAATGCATCCTATCTTAACTGACCCCATGCAGGGAAGCAGAGCACCTCGCCTGTTCCACCAGGTCAACAGTTCCCTCTAACGAGCCCCCTTTCAGAAACATAGACAGGTATTTGGTATTGCAGGCTAACAAAGAACTAACAACGAATGCCCATTCAGAAGGGGCGGACCCGTACGTCTTGTTCAATTTGCATGTTTTCTAAGCCAAAACAAGGCTTTGTTTTTGGTCGACTCTATAAAGCCTCAAACTCAATGCTATTTCTGACATTTTGTATTGAAAAAGCTTCCTGGATGGGAAACAAAATGCCTTCAAACTTTGAAACAGTTGATTGTTTTTTTAACTTTTTTAAAATGGCTATGACCTGGATGACTGAGAGTCTTCACCAGCATACCATAGAAATGTCCATCATATCATTCAGAAAGAAAGGCTTTATGTCCACGACCTCAATATGATTTGTTTCATATTGTTGAATTAATCTTAATAATAAAAGTGCTTTCACTTTTATTATGTGAAGATGCTGGGTGGAGCTGATAAATCTATTATAGAACAAATCCAGTACCTACATGAACTGAAAGATTATTCAGCCAGGAAGAAGCCAGAATCACAAAAATGCAGGATTGCAATTTGAAATGCAGTCGTTAACAAAAAACTGAATTATTGGAGACATGTCCTGTGGTTTGTTGAAAATTAAAGTAAAATGGCTTTTCTGTATTTGTAGGGGGGAAATGGGAAGTTTTAAAGACAGATTTCAAGGTAATTGGGAGAAATCCAACGTTTTGTGAAAATGACTGGATTAGAGGCAAAAATAAAACAAAGATCTAACAACCAAAAACCTCTCTCAAAAATGTTGTATTAGGCAAATAAAAATAACATTAGCAATGCCTACTGTTCCAATTCAGAAAATAAAATATATGATTTTTTTTTTAAACTGCTCGTTTTTTTTTTTATAGATCTACATGTTCTTTTCCCATTCACATTTAAACCAGCAAGTCTGAATCATGCTGTCTGTCATTACAAGGTCATGAAAAATATAAAAGGTCTTAAGAGTATTGATTGATGCAATTTTCCAATAATTTAGTGAAATTAAACTCAACTTTTGTTTCACTGTCTTAAAGAAACAATAAAGTTGCATCTGACTGATGAGAGTTCGGTCTCTTACTGTGAAGGAAATGTTATTGAAAAAACTAAACTCACAAACAGTGAGGAAAATAAATGTTTCTGTTATCCCAACGGACGTTAACTAACTTACATAAGATTTGATGAACTACCAAAACGAGCGAAGAGAGTTATGAGCCGGAGCGTGAATGAAAGATGTGGCCTGGTCATTGAGGTTTAAACTGTTAAAGTCAGCATTTAAACAGCAATTACACAACTAAAACACTGGCAGCTGCTAAGATCTTAAATCATGAGGAGTTTTGGTTGTAATAAACAGAAAGGAGGCGGAGACATTGCTCTCCCTACCGAGCTTTCCTCCACAGGTGGTGGTGGGGGTTCATGGATGATCTATGGGAGCAAAACAAACATGAAACAAAACGTCAGCACAAGTTAGAGGTCAGAAACATATTTATCACAAACCTTTTAAATAGTATGCAGAGCAATGTGTCTCCTGTTTGCAACAGGATGGTTAAACAACAGCATATGGCTGAGGAACTTTTGTTTTCATTTCATTCTCCACTATTTACAAGCTCAGAGCGCTGACCTAAAAACCTGCATCACAGATCTTCTTTTTGCCCGGGATTGGTAATTAGGTTTATTGAAAGGAAACCAGCTCATAAATGTAGTGTTTCTGCTCCAAATTTCTTCATTAAATTACCTATAGATTAATATTATATTTTAACAAGAAGACTTTCCAAATTACCTGATTTTAACACCATGTTTTTTTTTTCCATATTGCCAGATGAACAGCATTGATGCTTTATCATCATCATCATGATTAATGCAAACTTTTCTATTTGAAATCCAATTTAATAATGTTTTTAGGATTTTTATGCCTGCTTTCAATATCTTGGACCAGACTGGGATTCCCCATGGTAACCCTGCATGGTTTTTCCGAAACACGTTTTAGCACATCAAACTTGAATTTGGAGCTAAATGAGCAAGGACAGGAACACTGAACAGAGAAAGCCGTGTTGTAAAAGCTGACATCTCTCTCTGGATGTTTCCAACTTTCCAGCTTAAACAGCAAAAAGAATTTTGAGGAGAGATTGTTATTCAATTGCTGGTAACCAATGGGTTTTTTTTTGTGTCTAATTTCAAGGCTGGTTATCTTATGTGTTGCTAAATAACAGATATGTTTTTCACAAGAATAATCCTCTTTTTCGATCCGTTATCTTTCTCTTTAGAAATTTCAAGGTAATAAATACATTAACCCCAAAACATTAGCAGCCCATAGTGTTGTTTACTTTTATTTTAAGTTATTCCAGGGTGTGTGGACTAGTTTTATTTACTTTTAGAGAATATATTTAGAAGGAGGGGGAGCCCAGGGCTCGCCTACTGTGATCTTTTGAAACCATAAATGATTTTTTTAAGACATTAACATTTCCAGCACAAGGTATGTATGGACTCATAAAATAACTACCACTGCAAATCCATAAAACATGGTGGTGGCAGCAGGATGCTATGGGAATTGTTTTATTTAGCTTGAACAGGGAAACTGCTTAGATTGGATTTAAAGTTGAATAATATTCAACGCAGGGCTGCTGAAGAGGTTACAGGCCGATCCACGATGGAATGCCCTTGATTAAAGCATGTGTTAGAATGGCCTAATCAAAGTTCAGGCTTAAATACAATTAGGAATCTTTGGTAAAAAATTTCCAACTGATTTTGCAGGAGCTTCCGATTTTACCTGACTGAGCTTGAGCTATTTTCCAAAGAAGAATGGGTAAAATGTGATTCTGAAAAACACTAGCAAAGATTTTAGCAAAAAATGTGCTCTAGAAAGTTTTGTCTCAGGAAATCAAATTTCCATTTGTAAAAAGATATACATCAAACAATCATGTATATTATTTCTTACACTCTGCTACACCTATATTTGTTTGTGGTGGTCTACCACTTAAAATGCCAATGACATGCATTGAAGAAGGGGTGAGAACATTTTTAAAAGGCCTCTAAAATGAAAACGATTGGACCAGATGCAATCTAAAAAAAAAAAAATGCATTTTTACATTTTAATGACCCAAGAAAAATGCTTCTAGATAGCTCACCACAGTGCAACAGAGAGGCCAGAACCACCAGAGAAGAGCCAAAACCAGGAGTAGCACGAGGATAAGCAAAGCTACGGCCAGGATGGTCCCGTCTGACTGTAACAGAGAGAATATCAGCAAGGTCTTTTAAAACAGTCCTAAATAAAAGCTAAATCTTTTGGCTTAATGCTTTGTATTCAAGAAGCCCATTTGCTTTTCTCTATAATAAATAACTTACTTCAAAGCTTCAATTCTGAATAAACACCTTTTTTTGCAACTGCAGCCTTTAGGTAATAAAGGGTTATATTCCATGTGCATTTCCTTCTTCTATATTTTGTTTCTCGTCAGTCTTATGGACTAGAAATCCGTTAACCTGCTACTGCTGCTTGACAGTTTACACTTACACATTTCACAGTGGTAATGGTGACAGAACTGGAGATAAAACTGAGCCCCTCATTCATACTGACATCAAGATTTGCTGCCCTACAGAGGAAAAAAGAAAAAATTCTCAGTTGTAATTTACAATCTGTCTTTCTTATAAAGAAGCACCAAAAAGGTCTCCATGAATCCCCTTGTTTATTTAAATGAACTCAAATACTTACATCCCTTCCTCCTGAAGGACCGGAGCAGGGCAGAGGAGATATGTGTCCTCAACAGTCAGTGGCTTCATCACTGGAGAAACCAACAGAAATAATGACTATATAACAGAGGGCTTCAAAGTTTTCCAGGCCAAGGACCCCCAAACCAATGCGAGATGTAGCGGGGACCCCCTTATTATATATATATGGTATGAAATTGTGTTATATCAAACTAGTAACTAATGTAACAAAAGTAATTTCGCCCTGGGATTATTAAAGTATTTCTGATTGTGATTCCTGGTTGATGGGACAGGTGTTGTGAATGAAACGGTGCCCAGCTTGAAAGAGCTCCTGTGTGTCGCTGAATGTGTGCATTGATGACTGAAAGACATCTCCTGCCTCCATTTATCTGTTTAATTCAGTGTGTTGAATTCATGTTAATGTGTTTAAAGACATTTCAATTAGTGGAAAAAAACTGCAGGGGGAAATATAAAAAAAAAAAAAAAAATCAACCAAAACTTTCGGAGCCCCATGTAGTACCTCCGTGGACCCCCTAGGGGTCACGGACCCCTGTTGAAGACCTCCGCTATACAACATGGTGAAACCATCCTATATTGAAAGACACAAAAACTAAGCTTAGTATTGCCATAGTAAACCTTGATTGTTAGCCTGACCATGGTAAGTTATTTAAGGCGAGACTGGAGATACACAAGGGGAGAACAGTCTCAGAAATCTAATAAACTATGCAAACAGGTAAAAATAAATAGAATATCATGAAAAGCTCAATGTTTTTGGTCTGTCACTCCGGAAAGAAAAACTCATATAATGTATTGTTTCATTATACATAAAGTGAATATTACTTTGCAAATTATGAGGACTCAAAATGCAGTGTCTCAAAAAAGTAGAGAGTAAAAAACTTATATATATATATATATATATATATATATATATATATATATATATATATATATATATATTTTAAAAATGGTTTGCCTCCACAATCAGCTAATTAATGTAAAACACTTGTTTAAGCAAGTGTTTCCTGAGTCTCTAAAAATGTTTCTTTGTCTGTGTTGGTAGGAGATACAGTCATAAGGAACGCTGCTGAATGGACAGATCCCCAGAGGAGAGTAAATGGCACTCCAAAAGGAGGGCAAGCCACATAAGAAGTTCATTGTTCACAGAATGATGTATTCAAGCTTAATCAAAGAAGGGTGAGCAGATGGAAAATGGTAGGAAATGATGCAACAGGAATAATAACTCCATCGTTAACAGAATTGTCAATCAAAATTCCCCCAAGAATTAAGAGAGCTTCTCCAGGTGTGAACTGAGCATGGAGTCAGTATATTAAAGCCCAAATGCATCCCGTGATAGAAATGATGCAACTCCTAATGCTAAGCCACTCATCAGCCAAAATGGGCTTAGCTGGGCTATAGAGATAAAACATGGACTAATAAAATGGAAAAATATAGTGTGAATTGTATTTAAAAACGAAGGTTCCATAGGTTGAAAGAAGTGTGGACAGGAACTGAATCCATCAAGAAGTGTCTACAGTTGTGATGACTTTGGGTGTCATGTCTTCTACTGGTGTTTGTCCACGTTATTTTCTCGAGTCCATTTTAGAACACTTCATGCTTCCCTTTGCTAACAAGCCTTATGGAGATGCTGATTTCATGCACCCACCCAGACTGCCAAAAGTACCAAAAGCTAGTTCAATGATAAAGAACCAAAAAAGCAGGTACTGGACTGGAAAAACAATCAATAAAACGCTTACAAAGCAGGATCAGTGGAGTAGAGAATGCTAGCTGAAACCCGTGGGAAAGGGGCAATAGAGAGTATATTAATAATTGTTATGTTAAGGGATAAGTCAGTACAAAAAACAAAAAACAATTTTTTTTTTCTTAGTAAAACCATAGCTAGAAAAACACTAGTAGATATATAAAACACCAATAAAAAATATTTACATACAATTTAATTATACAATGTAAACAGAGCTGTTTGTTCTAAAAACACAAACAGTAATGCAGAGGAGGGACATTAGAGGTAGAGGAGGTGAATTTCTGTCAAAAACGGCTGAAATGGCCAGAAGAAAAAAGGCCAAACAACTGAGAGTATCTCTGCACCGTGCGTGGACTCAAATAACCCCTTTAAAGCAGAAGCTATGCAGGAGAAAATCCTATGATAATTTATGAGCTGATGGGAAATGATTTGCTGTCGTCTGCACAATTTCCAAAAGATCCTTTAAGGGTCAGGAGTTGGCAAGCATCCTAAGCCTTTGTCATGATGTTTTATTGGACTTGTTACTCCAGGAAAGGTCATGTTTTATTGCGAGGTCCAGGCAAGTGCCCAGAGTTTAGCCTTAAGCAGTAAAATATGTGACATTTTTGCTTCGGAGGAAGACAAATATATAAACAATGAGAGATAACTGCCAGTAAAGTCAGTAAGTAGATTCTAAAGAAACTGCAGCATGTTTGAAAAAAACAAGAGAATTGGTTTTAAAGAAATTAATTTGAGTTTTAAGCAGTTTACCTTAGTAACTTACAAAACAAAAAATGTCTTTGACGGGAAAAACAGTGTGAACTGAACTGGAAATGGTTGAGTGATCAGGTATAACCATGTGACTTTGTCCAGAAATTGTAAAAGTATAAGCTTTTGAAAAGAGCCACAACTATGAAAAAATAATTATCCTGTTTGAACACTTAAGTTTTACTTGATTTTAAAAAGTTAAGGTAGTTCTACTGTTACTTAAAGGTATAGAGGACAATCTTTTATTTCCGGGTGGATCATCTAAATAAGTGGTCCTCCAAGTTGTCAATCATTCTGGTGATATGTTTACGTATGGCCGTCCTACGTTCCCCGTCCTCAGTTAGCTATCTTTTTCTGCGTATGTGAACTTTTATGTGCTGAACTACGGTTTCAGACAGTCATTGAAGCTCGCCTTTCTCACTGCGGTTCTTTGAAAATGGCAGAGGGTCGTAACAGAAAAAGAGTATACAAAAAGTATGCGAAGAAGAGAAAGGCCTCAAAAGAGAGAAATAAGACCAGAGTGTTTTTTGGAGATTATTTCATGCGATGGCGTACACTGAAGGCACAGGTCATGGCTCCCACTGCTGCCTCGGTTGCAAAGTTTCTACTCGACAGGTAAAGTTTGCATCCTATTTGGAGAAATCCACTTCATATTACTGCAAGTAAAAGTTATCTACCTCTATATTGTACCCTTCCAGGAAATATAAGTTAATATATTTTGTAATTTGCATTGTTAGTAGTTATACAACCTTGTATAGCTATAGAAGGGTTGGCCTCGGCAGATGGCCGCTCACACTGAGCCTGGTTCTGCTGGAGGTTTCTTGTTGTTAAAAGGGAGTTTTTCCTCTCCACTGTCGCTACAAGCATGCTTAGTGTGAGGGATTGTATTTGAGTCAATGATTCAATGCAATCAACTGGTTTTCCTTAGATAAAAAACTTGGAATCAATTTGACTGTATGATCTGGTGAACTGTAAAGTGCGTTGAGATGACATGTGTTGTGAATTGGTGCTATAAAAATAAAATTAATTGAACTGAATTGAATAAGGTGGCCACAGATCCTTATTTCCCCAGAAAATACGTCCAATTCCCACTGCAGCACACACATACAAGCATGTCCTGATTTTTTTATGTACCAGTAGTCTTATTTGCCGGGAAACTTTTTATCTATAAATATGGTTGAGATGAGATCCATCCAAGCAACTGTCTTATCATTGCCTACCTGCCCCTCCTCGAGGAGATACGGGTCGTGAATGCTCTCATATGTCTTTAATAGGCGTTCTCTCTTGGGAGAAAATAAAGGGTTGTTTGTGTGCATTTTTCTTTTTAAATTGAGGGGGGCGGGTCATTTCAAAATTTCGCAAAAATCCTCCACTATACCTTAAAGTATAATTTTTGGGTACTCTACCCCCCTCTGTTTAAGAGGGGAACAATCAAGGGGTATTAGCACTTTTTCAAACAGCTGTAAACTAGGAAGAAAAATATTTTAGTTCTTAAAGCCAAAGGCAAACATGCCTGTCGTATACTTTATCCAACTGAAGAAAACATTTTTTTTTCACTCACAACGGAATAGACAAATCCAAAGTTTTTTCCTGTTTCACAGTAATCACCCACTTGTCCACTGAAACATCTGTCACCTAACAGATACAGCTTGGGATGAGACTTGCCAACTCCCTGCAGGCATGGCTATTTCAGCTGATCCTTTTTTTTCCCCCTGAAAACACAAACTCAAACACCGATTCATCTGTTTTGCACATGTCGTGTCACCGTTCTGCTTTCCTTTTTTAACCATTTGATGAGACATGCCAAGTATTCAAAGGGGTAAGAAAGAACTCAAGAAAAAGCTTTTATCCCTCTGAAACCCAAACATGGTGCAATTATCTTTATTTAAAGTTTACCTCTGATTGGAAATAAACAAATTCCAAAAAGATTGTGTACAGACATTCTTGAGAAGCGTATTGCCCTGAAGGAAGATAGCAATACTGATTTATGATAGATTTGCAATAATTGCTTCAATGTCCAGTTATCACAGTAAGCTTATAATAAAATACGTAAGAAAATTTAAAAAACAGAAATTGTGCACATTGGAAAATACTGATAAATTATATCAACCAAACCAGGAAAAAATGGTTATCAAGCACAGTAGGGGGTTTAGTTTTACCACCATTACAGTAAGCTTGTAAAAACTTGGGGGTCTGTTTGCATACAGACTTTTATCTTTGTTTGCCCTGTGTGTGGTACTGCCTTTCTTTTATCCCTTTTTCGCATCCCTTCATCCCCCTATAAAACAACCCAGTGTTGCCTTAAAACAGGCCGTGAGTAGCACCAGTTAAGCTTCTGTTTGATCATGGATGATTCCAGCTGTTCAGACCACTAACCTGGCCTCTTCCCTTATTTCAGCGCATTTAGCTGTAAAACAACTGAGTGGTAACCAAAGCAGCGCTGAGCTGCTCACTAACAGTATGTGGTGTAGGCAGGAAATGTTTTTCTGTGATGGTTTCCTTACTTTTGGTCACAGTGTCGTTGATCCGGAAGCTGCACAACACTTTGTCCGCATTTCTGGCATGGAGGAACCCGTTTCCTGTTACCACAACCTGGAATGACTCTGGTCAGAGACCATAAGACAGAGACACACGTTATCAACTCAGCAGCAACTGTTTAATAATGAACAATAAATGCAAACAGAGCTAAGCCTAAAAAGAGGCTTGAAAGTAGGAAACAGTTGCAAAGTAAAATTTGCTTTTGCAATATTTTTCCAAATCAAGTCGGTCATTTTAAAGCATGCTGTTAGATCAGAATGACCATTAACTCATATACACGGTGTATAAAATCCAACTAATCATTTTAAATGAAAAATGAAAATTTTCTTGGTTTAAAAAAATTCTATTAAACATTGTGCTGAAGAGATGAGGTGCATCTTATCAACTGTGATTGGTTATTGACTGGGTCTGTTTCTCAATTTTAGGGAAATCGATGTAACTAGCAGGAGCTGCAAGTCTGAACGCAACTAAAAACACAAAACTTGTAAATATTTTGATAAAATGCCATTTATATTATGTGATAGTTGAGCTAACATATGTGAGATATAATTTTGTGCTTCAAATTTATCCTCATTTATCTCCTTACTTGCTGTAATGAGAACAGTATTTTTCGTTTTTTGTAAACTTAACAAAAAAAGCAAAGGTGCAACAAATCTTATCTATATAATACAATACTCCTTTTCTCAATAGTTAATACAGTGAAGAAGAAATGGAAATGTCGTTGGCACAAGGTGAAAACAAGTTGTAAAGTTGGGGTTTATAAATTGACAGAGACAGAGTCGAACGAAAGCCTTGTCACTCCCCTCACTGCAAAAACAATCTAAAAATAAGTAACAATTTCTTTAATTAAATGTATTTAACCTTAATTTGAGCAGGTAAATAAGATGATTTGCCAATGGAATGAGTATATCCATTCTTATAATAAGATAATTAGATAATATGCACTTGAAATTAGACAATACTGTTTTTTCTTATTTTAAATGTAAATAATCTTGTTCCATTGGCAAAGTGTCTCGCTAACCTCCTCAGTTCAAGAACAAATTAGCTCATTTGAAGAAAAAATTACGTATTTAGATTAGAATTTTTTTCAGGGAGTTCTTACCTCCTGCACATATACTGGACGGCTCTGCTGCCAGGATCTCAATACAGGACCTCTTCAGAATCTTGGGAGAAAGACAGAGAAACACGACATTTGCTTCTTTTAGTAATTCTAATCCGTCATCCATTTTTGAGCCACAGAGCACTTTAAGGTGTGCTTGGATTAACCACTGAGCTGTTAGTTTTCCCCACATTTTTCACAGTCTAGAAACATCTCCAGTGTGACAAGTGACAGAGTCCTAATTCACAACCCAGGGGCACACTCATGAGTTAAAAAAAGCAGCAGCCTTTTTTTGCACTAAACCTGATCCAGATGTCTGCAGCTGTCTGACCTGTACTGCTTATTAATTTTTTTTTCCATTTTGTTAAATGTGCAAAAGTACAATGATTTCCACAAATAAGGATCTTAGCATGAGCCTCATAAATAAAGAGAAATAAAGTAAAACTTCTTTTTGTCCTTCCGATTAAAACTGTGTGCTTAATCTGAGTGGGGGGAGAGGAGGGAAGCTTACCGAACCAATAACTCCTTGCAAAGCTTCAAATCCATCATTTACAGGGAAGACGTGGTCTTTACTGTCAGCGATCTTCGCCAACTAGAAGAAAACAAAACATTACAGCTTCAAATCATAGGCCAGATGGTGGTGTTGGAGCTTTAACATATTTGATTATCCAACCTGTGCTTTTGCTTAGTCATTACTCATTTCTCTCATGCGCTGACAATGCCCTGTAAATATTTTCCTTTTACAACTACAAATTTCATTGTGTTTCTTTGGGATTTAAAGTGATAGACCAACACAAAGTGCTACGTGTATAAATCCTGATGAAGAACCCAGAGGTTGGTTAGAGGATGCGGCCTGCATGCTGCCTTCACTGCAAAAACAATCTGAAATCAAGTAAAAAAAATCTTAAATCAAGTGTATTTACCCTTAATTTGAGCAGGTAAATAAGATAGTTTGCCAATGGGATGAGTATTTTTACACTTAAAATAAGATAACTAGATAAAATGCACTTGAAATAAGACAATGCAATTGTTTTTTCTTATTTCAAATGTAAATTGTCTTGTTCCATTGGCAAAGTGTCTCATTTATCTACTGAAATCAGGATAAAATGCACTTATTTTAAGAAAAAATTACTTATTTAGATTTACATTTTTTGCAGTGTTGTATGTTCGAACTTTACAAATGCTGCAGTTTATCAAACTATGTTAGGCTCAAGAATTAAGCCAGACATTTGTATTTTAGTTATTCCCTTTTCCACACAAGAATCCTAAGATATTTCTGGAGAAGCTGCAGAGATCCACTGTGCAGGTGTAAGAATCTGTTGATGTACAACTCTTCATTATGTGCTTCGATCACCTGGCTAGGTTAGAAAAGTGGCAAAAATAAAGCAATAGGAAGTCCTGGCAGCAGGTTATAAAAGCGCTTGAGACAGAGCAACATGGGTTTGGTCCGATTACATAAATTAGAGGTTATTCCTTCATAGCACTATGTATAGTGATAAACCTCCTCATCCTGAACATATTTTAAACCAAATACATTTTGAAAATTTTAGCAAAACTTTTACCAAGACTTAATTTAACCATTCATGAATATTTGTCTTTTAGGTACAGGAGGCAGATTATAATGAAAGATAAACTTAACGTAATTAAGTTTCCTTTAGTTGAAAAGAATTGGTGGAAACAGCATCACACTTTTGGATTTTTGTCTTTGACCAAGGACAGGTGGGCAGGTCAGACATAATAGACAGATTAATGGGGCTAAATTCAGAGCAGTTTTGGAACAAAACCTCCAAACGACAGATCTAGAATATCAAGATCATATGCTGATTAGGATCAAAGCATATTCAACCATTAAAAACGCCCAGTCAAAGTACATTCTTCAATCCAACTGTGAATTCCTGGAAAGACCTACATTTATTATTAACAGCAGCTTTCTATCCATTTGGTCGGAATTTTGTGAAGATGATTTTGGAAAAATATAGGTTTTCTAGATGTTCAAAGCTCTTAGAGACACATGCATAAAAATCAGTTATTCCAGCAGCATCACAACTGTAGACTGATTGGAGCAGATAGTGTTTTAATACGGTATATGGCAAAATCATAATAATACAACAATAATTGTAGTGGTAATATGAAAAAATGTGAGAAAAAAAAAGTTCTGTGAAATTTAGAACTGCCAGTCTTAGTGAAAACAATAAATGATCTGGTATTAACCATGAAAAACAAGAAAAAAGAAAGACGTGTGATATTGGCATGACATGCTACAGTAATTAAGCTAACAAAGTTTAAATAATAAACTGTTTCTTATTCTTTGCAGATATAAAATTACTGCACATGGATTTCCAAAGTGTACAGGTTTGGGTTTTTAGATGTTAAAGCTGTAACTTACTCATCATGAAGCTTTGATGTCATGAGACTGAAACTTCAAAAACACACACCTGTGTCTCATTGAAGTCTTTGACTCCAACGCAGTAAACTGAGGCACCCAGACTTCTGGAGCGGTTTGCCTGTCAGGTATGCACACAGATTCACAGTGAAAACAGGAAGACGCTCAAACGCCTGGCTTCAATTATACCTCTGCTTTTTACAGCATCACTCACAGCATTACCGTAAATAGGACTCCTTGTTTTTCCTATGGCTTGACAAGCAGGTTAGTAGCACTGTTTTTGTATTCTTACTGCCTAAACAACATTCAAATACCATATAAAATAGAAATTTTACGCTACAATATGATGCCAAACAGAGTGCTGATTTTTAAATTTTAAAGAAATGATGCAACTGAAGATTACTGATGAAAGTCAATGTAATTTGGACCCCCTACAATTTCCAATAAGCTCATTTCCAGCTCAGGGGGACCTCAAACCAGCCTATTCATTTGTGTCTAAGGACATAAATAATAATGGGCTTTAAAGTGGATGCTGATCTTAAATATGATAGTCAGTTAAAGGCAACTGTGAAGTTTCTTTCAGTTAAGGCATTTGGCCAAACTAAAGCCCATTCTCTCCAGAGATCTATTAGAGGCATTAATTCATGCCTTTATCACTACCAGGCTGGATTACTGTAACACACTTTATTTGGTTTTTAGTGCCTTTAACATTGCTCAACTTCAAAGAGTGCAAAACGCTGCAGCACGTCTTTTATCTGGCACTCGTAACTATTATCCCAATTTTAGCCTCATTACACTTGCTCCCTGCACATTTCAGGATTCATTTTAAAGTTTTTTTATTTGTTTTTAAGTCTCTCCATAGTCTTGCTCCATCTTATCTTTCTGAGTTGCTGCACCTTCATGCGCCCTCCCGTTCACTCAGGTCAGCCGATCAGCTGTTTCTTCAGCTGCAAAAAGCTAAATGGAAGCTTATGGGCAATCATGCTTTTTCTGTGGCAGCTCCAGAAATGTTGAACAACCTTCCATTGCAAATTAATTTGTCTACTTCTTTGTCTGATTTTAAATTGCTCTTAAACACTCATCTCTTTGCCTTAGCTTTTTAAACTGTGTGAGATGTTGAATTTAGTCTGTGATACATTATTTTTAATTAATTTTAGTTTGATTTTATCATAGATTTTATAGTTCTGATTTTAATTTTGTCTTACGCTTGTATGGATTTTTTGAGTCTGTCTAACAGTGTTATGTTGTTTCATCATACAGTACTTTGGTCCTTTGAGAAATTTTAAAGATCTTTATAAATAAAGTTGGAATGGATTGAAAAAAGCAGGGACTAAAGACACTGCACACAGAATCCCTGAATGATCTGAGGGGCGGTTAAATCCTTAGAGCCCAGAGACAGAGGAGAGATCAAAAGATAATATACGTCATAGCAGTATTTCATCTGGCCCATAAGTTGATCATTCCCATATTAAAGATTCTTTTTAGGTTTTGCTGCTCTGTCTTACCTCTATCTCTGCGTAGAGGAAAAGGTCCTCATGCAGCTCTCCATCTGTTAGCGCTATGATAACACTGGCGGTGCGGTAACCTGCACAAAGAAGCAGATGAAAATGTTTTTTATTGCCATGGGTAATTGAAGGTGGCCAAGGGGTGCAAAAGCACTGCAAATACATTAAGTACCACTAGGGAGAGTCTACCATCAATTCATATGGGACCAGACCATAGACATTACTGTGCATCAATGAATTTCGTGTTTGCAGGATTTTACAGTTCTTTTACACTGTTTGTTTCTCTTTATTTTCTGATTTCAGCATTTCTCTTTTGCTGACCTTTTCTTTTGCATGTGTTTGGTTCGTTGGTCTAGTTTTGTGAATTGTAGCCTAATTTTCTCTTTGTTGTGCTTTTTATATATATTCATTGTTAACCAGTTTGCAGCACTTTTGCACCTGTTGGGATAGAGTTTTTTGGTATTTGTAGGGCCACAAAGTTTTTAACTATCTGATCCAAACAATCACGCTCAGATGAGAGAAGGAAAGAAAGGTTTAGAACAGTGGTGTCAAAGTGGTTCCAGAAGGAACGAAAGAAGGCCAATTATTTGTTTTTTTCTAGGAAAGCACATTTGCAAAAAAAAACTCACCTTCTGTGTTTCCATAGTATATCTGCTCACTAGCCTGTAAAAAAAAAAAAAAAAAAAAAAAAAAAACAGAATGAAAAGGTAAAGCAAGAGGAGAATGGAGTGAAGCTCATTTTCTAGTAAACAAAGAAAACATGCAGATCCTTGACTGCGCCGTGCTTGTTTCTGGAGCTGGGGTGGAGGTAAAGCCTGAGCCAACTCCCATTTGGATGCAGACACTCACCTTCATGATGCCTTCATGCATAAATGTGTCTCCTCCAGGCTGGACGGCATGGAGCTCCTCCAGACCTTTACGGATACGTTCCCTGTGCAAAAAACAAAAAGGAGCAACGCAGATAATAAGATATGGCTATCTGATCTAAATATCTATTTCATCAGATCCATTACTGAATATAACTCTGCATTGAAACCAGACACACTTAGGGTTGGTCACAGAGACAGTTTCCAAAATACAAGTCATTTGCTAAAATACCAGAAATGCACAACAGATGTATAGAACCAGTGCTCTGCAGAACCATTAATAGAGGTCCAACTTTAATCATTTTTGTCTTGTTAAACCTACTTGTTTTAAAAGTAAGTTTTAGCTACATTTGAGTAAATTGCAACTTTTTCTAGTTCTTTTTCAGAATACTTTTGGTTCTGGATTTGACATTATCATCTGAAAGACTAGAGACTGAGCGGAATCAGCACAGCAGTCCAGAGGCTCCTTTCCTACCTTCAGTAGAATTCTTACTTTTGACCTTGTGAACGATATAGGAACTGGAGCTATTGGGGCTACAATAACAGAACCTTCAAAGCTCCTAGGCAAAGTGGTCCAAATTATTTCACAAAAGGGTGTGGATATCTACAAATCGTCCTCAATTGTATAAAACTTAATTTAGGTGCATCCTGTTTAGTTTCATGTGAAACTAAAAAGGCAATTGATTTTACTGGTTTTGATTTAGTGGTATATGTGTGCGTCGGTGTGTGTGTGTGTGTGTGTGGGTGTGTGTGTGTGTGTGTGTGTATGTGTGTGTGTGTGTGTGTGTGTGTGGTGGGGATGTGTAATTTAGTTTTGTGTTCAAATAACATAAAAAACAGACCATACATCATGGCATTTAACATTTATGAAGGAAGCATGAAACTTGCTCTGCTGCTCAGGAATTATAAATTGTCCACAATATGTCTTAACCAAGTGCTAAACTGCTTGCCCAGACTGACAAAACTATAACTGCAGGAGAAAGTATCCGTCTGGATTCTCCACTTGTCATAAAAATCATGGATCATAACTGTGTTAAATGTGTCCAAGTCAGCAGCTTCCCTCTTTGCTTTAAGGTGTATGACAGGACAGCAAAAGAATATGATTGAGTTTAAGACATCTGCTCCCACCTGTCATCTGTCAGGTGCATTAAAATCCGCCCCGCGGTGGAGAACACAATGAAGGACATCCGTAACTGTGGGCTGTGAGAAGGAGAGAAGGAAAATACAAGCTTTTAAATCAGTAATCATCTTTTAACAATCATTATCCCCACTGACACTGGAGGTTCACCTGATGAATTTATGTGCCAGATGTTCAACAAAGTGGTAGATTTCATTCCAGTGGTTCTGCACACTGCCAGATCTGTGAGGAGAGCAGACAACTAGATGTGAGCATGGGTTTGAGCATTTACAGAGATGACAGTGATAAAGGAGAGTGCCGTGGCTTAAAAAGAAATTCATTTTATTCTTCGTCTTTACTCATTTCTGTATTCTATGTCATCTCCTTTTATTAAGATTTTTTAATGATAGATTATTGCACAAATTGTATATAATAATGAAGTGTAAGAAAAAGTATGCATGGTATTCAAATTCAATAGAGTGAGGGATCCAATCATATTCAACCTTTCTTTGTAGGATCATCTTTCACTGAAAATATGGCTGCAAGTCTTCTGAGGTATTTCTCTAACAACGTAGTTCAAGTACAGGTCAACATTTTTGCTCATTCTACTTTGGAAAGTATAACTAAAACTAAATTGGATGAGTAGTATCTGTAAGCAGAATTATTCTGGTCTTTTCAAGAGTTTTTATCATGTAACTTTGTTATCAATTTATAATAATACAGCTCTTTGTTTGTCTATAGCACCAAAATCCCCTCAAAATACATAGACAGTATTCTTTGTTTTAAGATTAAAGGAGCAATCTATTTGCTTTGAAAGCAAGAATCTTATAGTCATGAGGAACTCAACCCAGCAAATCATCCAAGTCTTTATAAGCCTTTCCAACTTTTCTTTTTCATTGTTTTGCCTCTCTTTGCCTTTTTCTTCCATTTAGACTAAAGTTTGAATTAGTAATTCTTCAACAGTTGGTAACAGCCTATAAAACATTTGATCATTCCAGGTAGTATTTAATCATATACAGAAAGAGCAGCTGAGTCCATAAACTTGCAGTCTGGATCTAAATTGATGTATGCTTTGAACTGTCTTACGTGGAGCTGAAACAGTGCTGCAGTCTCATACTTTGGAATCAGGTACTGTCAAAACCCTTTTTAAGCAACTGAAACCATTTGAAGTTATTGTACACAAAGTTGCATTGATAAAACCTTCATGAATCCAGCTGTGTAATCAAATCTCTGTCAGACAGGACATAGATAAATGGGAGCTCTAGGCTCTCCTGTCATATCTACTCCTAATGTTGCATTGCCCTGCACTGAGGCTGTGACAAAGGCTGATCTTTTTAGCTCTTTTGGGAGGAAATTATCATTTGAGAAGGTTGTATGGTTTGTGTGCATGTCACTGTTGATTACTATCAAAAACTCCTTTGATTTAGTAATGTATTCTTAAGGCTTTGAGTTTTCCTAACACACATTTTTCCAGCGTTACCATGACACAAGTCCCAGCACAAGCAGCTGAGCCAAGAGTGTAAACATCTGGATGAAATGGAGAAAAGCAGAGTTGACAAGTAGAAAGAAGCAAAGGAAAGTTCAGGATAAAGAAAACAGTGGGGGAACATGAAGAACAACAAAAATGGGAAGAGGAGAAATGTTGATATAGAACTAAATCTCAAAGGACACTTTTTGATTTAATTTTTGAGTTAATTTTTAAAAGCATTTTCTTTAGATTTGCATAGATTTTGTAATCTCCAGAACTATTCTGCACTTCACTAATGTATTTATTTCAGTACAAAAAGAGTTAGACAATTTTAATTTTGTTTTTAGAGCTTTCAGACAAAATTTTAAAGTTTGACAAAGGGGGACTTGTGCACCTCTCACTATTCAGATTTCTTCTTGCAAAAAGTTTGAAGCAAGATTTCTTTTTTTTGTTTGTTTAATTTAACAGCTTTCAGTATCTGAATCCCAATAAAATTAATTGGTTTCTGGGATTGTTGGAGGACCATATGTGAAAAGGGGAATACAGATGAAGGCACCGTTTATCCTTGCTAAACAATCTCATTAGATTAAAGTAGCCTGTTGCCATTATTTCACCACATTTTCACTCTTTTGAAAAAGAATATTGTAAATTGCAATTGGTTAAACTGGATTTTACTTAAATTTATCAGACTAAATAGGAAAATGCATGCAATAAATTTTTAGAGTTTTATTTATGAGAAAAAACATCTTTTAAGTCCTACTTTTTGGTGGCTTTAACTGAAAAAACATTCAATAAAGTGTTTGTTTTTTTTTACATTACAGTGCATATAAATTGTCAAGATCAAGTACTATAGATTAACTAAATACGTCTTTATTTATGAAGGCACATCTAAGGAGAAACACCTACAAAGAAAACAAAACAACCATTTTTGTCTTAAGAATGAAAAATTCTGCAGACAAGTTGTTACCTATGTTTGACTGGAGGAGTCAAAGTTTAGTCAAGTTGAGTTAGACAAACGGAGGTGGGTGACAAACTAAACCAGAGTTATTATAACTCCCATTTCGGAAACAGCTGATAAAAAACAAACACAAAAAAAAACAATATCACCTGCAATGAAACCGATCTGTTGCACTTCAAAACCATGTGACACATAAATCATTACTGCCTTTTGATGTATACTCACTATGTAGATCATAACTAGTAAGAAACAGGTTATACAGCTTTAGAGATAATAAAGGGAATATGTAACTAGCGATAGGAGTAAAAAAAAAAAGAGAAATTAGGGGCATCTATGATGTTTGGGGATGGATATGCAAATGCAGCATACACAAAATATATTATTTTTTGTATGTTTTGTACCATTGCACAGACAGTGAAACCACTGTATTACTGAAGTCATAATGTCTGTTTAAATGCTGTCCAACTTACGTGTCCAGAACAAAGTAAAGGTCAAAGCCTCCAAAGCAGGAAGTCTGTGGAGCCGGTCTCCTCTCCTGGTTTGTTCCAGCATCCAGAGCCATGGGGAGAATCATCAAAGCAAAAAGCACAACTAGAACCTTCAACCTGGTGCTCCAGCACAGAGGCATCATTCCACCTACAGGAAATCTTGAATCAATCAAACCAAAAAAGCAACCAAAGTTGAATCCTCTTCCGTCAATCCTCAATGTTTTCAGATGCTGAGAGTGTTGATCAGAGTTTGAAGAGGCGGAGGGAAACAAAGCAGAGGTGTTGATGGCACTCTCTCATCCCCAGGTTTAAACCAGGTTGCATAAGGATGAGAGAGGCTCCTCAAACTACATCTGATGCTGCTCCTTTGTTTGTGCAACGCACAGAGAGAAAGAACCTCCAACCCTGGATGTATTTGCAAAAAAAGAAAAATTCCATGTGTTTTCTCTCTTTCACCCTGGATCTAAGTGGGAAGAATGATGAGGACAACATGGTCAAAGCACTCTGATCTTCTTACTGCTCCTGCCATCTAGTGGTAATAAAATAATGTAATTACACTAATCTGAACATGGAAATGTGAAATTAAACACATGAGACGGCATGTCTTTTATGAATTCCTTTTCTTTTCTATATGATATTGAGATCATAGTAAAAATGTAACTCAGACATGAAACAAAAGCAAAATAGAGAGAGCAATTACACTAAAACACCTGCATTATCCTGGATCCCCATTATGTGTTTTCAGCTAAATTAGATTTTTACCACAGGTGTTAATATTTAGCTTATAGATTAAGAATAGTGAATAAATAAACATTAATATTTTTAATCCATTTCTATATTTTTGTAATAATGACTGTTTTTAAAATGAATAGTTTGTGCATCAGGTATACAAACTGCCGCAGCATTTCTGTACCTTTCTGAATATGTGAAGAAAACATTTTAATATAATTCAGATGTTTATTTAATGTACTTTTTATATATAGAAACACACAAAAACTACACAAACTGATAGTTTGTCTTGGACATATTTGTATTTATTATTGATTTTCTTTTCAAGGCAAACTAAATTCTTTCCCACACATTCAGTTTAAGGATGTCCATTGTGGTCAGCGCTTTTATTAACTGATGCATGTTTTATACAATTCTGACCTTATATCACATTTAGGCCATATGGATTTGTAATTTCTTTATTTTCCTGAATATTGAAATACAGGACAGAGCACGGATGGGTCATCTTTCTTGTGGACAGTATATTCACATGCCTTTTGATCAAACACAGCCTCGCAGTCATCAGGGAAGCCCGTTGGAAATCCATACCTGAAATCAAACAGAAACCAGAAGAAAAAAGGTAGCTGGGACTTTTTTCTTCACATTAGGCAATAACATGCGTATGATTTGTTTGTACATACACACTGCAGCATCGTTCACAGTCGCATTTCATACATCCACTGTTCCTCCAAGTTGTCCCTCTAACATGCCATGTTAAATCAAAATCATCTTGACAGTGGGTCTCATTTTGTGTTTCTGCAAAGGGGAAAAAAAGATATATATATATATATATATATATATATATATATATATATATATATATATATATATATATATATATATATATATATATATATATATATATATATATATATATGTGTGTGTGTGTGTGTGTTTATATAGTATATTATAAATCTTTAAACCTAGAAACTCATCTGAAAATCACCATAAATATTCTTTATGTGAAATTTGGATTTTACCTGGAGTCTGAGGTTTGACCTCGCAATGAGCATCTGACAGAGATGTCAAGACACAGAGCAGCAGAGCCAGCAGCAAATATTTCTTTGGAGAAAATGAAGAACAAACAGCGCTCTTTACTATACAACAGAATTTAGAAACTATTATTTAACTTATACAGACTTTCAGGCCACTATTCATAAAAATGGAGCCACAGATAGACACATTAAAAGTTCAAGAAACCCTCCAACCATGTTTTCCTTATTCTGTCTGGGTCACAGTGTGGCTGGTGCCTATCTACAGTATAGAAGTCTTTGGGTGAGAGGTGGGATACACCCTGGACACCTTTTAGACAGTGGGAAGAAGCCGGAGTACCCGGAGAGAACCCATGCATGCACGGGGAGAACATGCAAACTCCATGCAGAAAGACCCTGGGCCAGGAATTGAACCCAGAACGTTCTTGCTGCAAGGCAACAGTTCTACAAAGCGTACCACAGTGCTGCCCAGAGTAATAAACCATAACAAACAATTATTTAAACAAATTGTTCAATAAAACTCACCATCCTGTCTCTGTGATTTGTCAGCATTGACACTGTCCTGGTAAACACAAATATGTGGAGAGTCATTTCTCTTAAATACTTTTTTTTGCCTGGACCTTTGGAATCAAACATCAGGGGGCACAGGAGTGTTACTTCACTTACTGAAAGTGATCAAAGCCCTGGAAAAAAAACAAAAAACAAATGATAAAGTGTCCAATATTTGATCTAACTTATTTTAGCACTTTTCTCTTGTTTTGTACAACAATTACAATTGACTATACTATGATTTTTGTTTTAAACAGTTTATAAGCAGGGTTAAACATTGCTCTCTCGCTCTCTTTATATAGATAGATCTAGATAGATCTAGATACTTTTTTAATTTAATTTTACAGTTGTTTTTTTTCAATAAAGAGTTATGTCTTCTGGCCAAATGTTGGTTATTTTTTTTTGTCTGTTGTGTCCCCAGATATCAATAAACTAGACTATAGGAATCTTCCTGTTTTAGTTTAAATCATCCATGGAGAAAATATGGGCACATTTTCCAAAGAAAATAAATGCAGTATCTTAAGATGGTGTTTTTTATTGTTTGAGTTTTTAAGATATTTGGAATAAGAAAAATTGAGACTACATTGCTGTAATGGTAACCTGTGCTTGCATGACCAACAACATGTATACAGAATTTATGCAAGGTCAGACCATATATGACTGGAAAAGAAATAGAATTTAAAGCAACATACTTGTTAAGTTTGGGGAAGAAAACATGTGCATGTTTGTGCCTGAGTTGATGATTGACCGGTGATTAGAGGTAAATGTGGCTGTGTTGAATAGATTCAAGTGTGCTAATTTGTCACATGGAGTGCAACATTTTTAGAATGAGAAGAATAGAAAGCTTGAAGCACTCTGTGCTTTAGAGCAGCGAAGGACAGGTAGACGTTTGCTCCTAACGGCTGCAGCAGTCTCAGGAAGACACAGAAAGTTAGGTTATCCGTGAAGCACAGAAGTTGCGGCCCACAGGCTAAAGTAACACAGAGTGAGAGATACGGGACACTGAACTACTAAACCTAACAGTGCTGCATTTCTCCCAGTTAATTAGCATAGTAGATGTGATTGAATGCCAGCTTTTAGAATGTGGGACTATCGGAATGTATTATGATATAGAATATATTGGCATCAATTGTTTACTCCATACTTAGCTACTGTAGACTTGGACTTCTAGAGGACATATGGACCCCTTTTTCATCATTCTATCTCTATTCTCCCACTCTGCAGAATCTGTTAATTCAATCTCTAACGTTCTGCTCTGTCTTTTCTCATAGTAGCTTCACCTCATCTGTTCTTGTTTGGCTGTGACTCCATCCTGGAGAGAAATATCAGCTATGCTGCTGCCATTATAGATGTTGGAGATCGGCCTGTTTTTCAGTGTAGTCCTGTTTCTCTGACTGTGATTGGTTGGATGTGCTCTCTTCATCCTCTTACATGGGAGCTGGCTCAGGGCTCGTCTGCCTGGCTGTGTGTTTCCTGGATGGGGCCGCCTTTTACAGTTGCTTTTTGTACAGGTGCTGGTCATAAAATTAGAATATCATGAAAAAGTAGATTGATTTCAGTAATTCCATTTAAAAAGTGAAACTTGTATATTATATTCATACATTACATACAAACTCATATATTTCAGATGTTTATTTTGTTTAATTTTGATGATTACAAATGACAACAAATGAAAATCTCAAATTCATCATATCAGAAAATTAGAATATTACTGAAGACCAATAAAAACAAAGGATTTATAGAAATGTTGGCCAACTGAAAAGTATGAACATGAAAAGTATGAGCATGTACAGCACTCTGTATTTAGTTGGGCCTCCTTTGGCCTGTATTACTGCAGCAATGCGGCGTGGCATGGAGTCGATCAGTCTGTGGCACTGCTCAGGTGTTATGATAGCCCAGGTTGCTCTAATAGTGGCTTTTAGCTCTTCTGAATTGTTGGGTCTGGTGTATTGCATCTTCTTCTTCACAATACCCCATAGATTTTCTATGGGGTTAAGGTCAGGAGAGTTTGCTGGCCAATTAAGAACAGGGATACCATGGTCCTTCAACCAGGTACTGGTAGCTTTGGCACTGTGTGCAGGTGCCAAGTCCTGTTGGAAAATGAAATCTGCATCTCCAAAAAGTTGGTCAGCTGCAGGAAGCATGAAGTGCTCTAAAACTTCCTGGTATGTGGCTGCGTTGACCCTGGACCTCAGAAAACACAATGGACCAACACCAGCAGATGACATGGCACCCCAAACCATCACTGACTGTTGAAACTTTACACTGGACTTCAAGCAACGTGGATGAAGTGCCTCTCTTCTTTTCCTCCAGACTCTGGGACCTTGATTTCCAAAGGAAATGCAAAATTTACTTTCATCAGAGAACATGACTTTGGACCACTCACCAGCAGTCCAGTCCTGTTTCTCTTTAGCCCAGGCAAGACGCTTCTGACGCTGTCTGTGGTTCAAGAGTGGCTTGACACAAGGAATGCGACAGCAGAAACCCATGTCTTTCATACGTCTGTGTGTGGTGGTTCTTGAAGCACTCACTCCAGCTGCAGTCCACTCTTTGTGAATCTCCCCCACATTTTTGAAGGGGTTTTGTTTCACAATCCTCTCCAGGGTGCGGTTATCTCTCTTGCTTGTACACTTTTTTCGACCACATCTTTTCCTTCCCTTCGCCTCTCTATTAATGTGCTTGGACACTGAGCTCTGTGAACAGCCAGCCTCTTTAGCGATGACCTTTTGTGTCTTGCCCTCCTTGTGCAAGGTGTCGATGGTCGTCTTTTGGACAACTGTCAAGTCAGCAGTCTTCCCCATGATTGTGTAGCCTATAGAACTAGACTGAAAGACCATTTAAAGGCTTTTGCAGGTGGTTTGAGTTAATTAGCTGATTAGAGTGTGGCACCAGGGGCCATCAATTTTGAACCTTTTCACAATATTCTAATTTTCTGATATGATGAATTTGAGATTTTCATTTGTTGTCATTTGTAATCATCAAAATTAAACAAAATAAACATCTGAAATATATGAGTTTGTATGTAATGTATGAATATAATATACAAGTTTCACTTTTTAAATGGAATTACTGAAATCAATCTACTTTTTCATGATATTCTAATTTTATGACCAGCACCTGTACTTACACACACGCACATACACACACTAAATTCTCCCAGCTAA